CTTCTGCAGATGAATCATCATGTAGGGAAGTTTGACATACACTTTTAAAATGACTAGTTGTAATGTGATTTCACACACCTGACAGCCACCCGCTGACCTCAAGAGGCAAAATTTACACCAGAGCTCCACCTCACCGCTCACATTTTCAACAGCACTAAGTTAGCATCCAGTTCATCTCTCCCAATTTGTGTTTTTGTTTGTTTCCAATGGAATTTTTCTCTTGCTCAAAATCCTCTGATTGTGACACTTCCCCACACAAGCAAAGGGCACTGTGTTGCTGTCTGTGTGAGCTGTGCTAATAGTTTGCCTATCACTAATATCAACGTACATCTGTGCTCTGAGTCTGTAAAATTTGCAAATGCCAGGAACAAAGAAAAGCCATATTTGCATATAGCAGATATTTTGATTGTAATGCACAGTGAAACAAGGCAGTGAAAACCGTCTCTTACAAAGAGATGTGATATTGCAGACTGCTTTGACAAACAGTCATAAGTTACTCAGCTGTGCTGGATTTCAGGCCAGTTTATACAGCGTTTCACTCAATTAGTCCAACACTAGCTATTCTCATATGATTCTCCTGCAGATTTTGAGGGAACTATATATATATATATATATATATATATATATATATATATATATATATATATATATATATATATATATATATATATATATATATATATATATGCTGATGGTGAGAGAATAAATGAGCAACACAAAGTGTAACACAAGGCTTTAAAAAACCAGCACAATGTTTGTTATATTGGAACTTATTTGGCAAATGTGTTTCCATCTCCTCTTTAGCGCATTAGCTTTGGTTTAGAATAGCTAGAAATCACCTCAAGCAAGCATAAAATCATTTTGTTTTTAATCAAACTTGAGGAAGTTCATATGAATTTCATAATTTCCATCAACCTCTTATAACATATAGCAAAAAACAAATGTTAATGGAAACACAGTCATTGCTACATGTGCAGCACACATAACCTGTCACTAATCATTGCATTTATTGCTTCCTAATCAGATTCCATTGTATAAAACTATTAAAATTAACCTCCTGATTATGATGTTTAAAAGTGGAAAAATAAGTGGACTCACTTAGGTAATTATTGCCTCATCGTGCATTTTTATGCTGCTGTACTTTTTATTTATTTATTTATTTGTTGCAGCTGCAGATTTCTCTATCCGGTTTAAATAATTCATGGCTTCGCTCGGGTCTTGTAGATGACCTGATCGACGCAGGCGGCACGGAGTTGGTCCGTTACCGGTGGAAGAAGAAACAAATGGTGTAATTTAAAGTGGCAGGCACGGAGCCTGAAGAAGAAAATAGTCATATTTTTGTAGATTTTTTATGCAAAGAACATTTAGTTATCTCTAAACTCTATGTCTCATTTTTCAAGCTAAATCATGCAGCTTTAATTTCTCGCCCAGGTCAAATAATTTCCCAAAGCTAAAAGCGTTTTGTCAAGGTGTGCTGTAGCCGCGAATGCCTGGATGTTTTGTTCGAATTTATTGTGATAGACCAATAGAAAGTAGTATGTGATTTTATTGATTTTATTTTATTTCGAACATGACATCAGCATTTAATAACACACGACCAAGGAATGCAAAAGACACGTTTTTATACGACAGTAATCTCAACGTGCTCGAAAAGTAGAAGAAAGATTATACAGAGCAGTTAGAACTTTGTCAAATAGAAATATATTGTTTTAGCCTCCTTTATTCTAATTCCCTTTAAGAAAATTGATTGCAAACATTTGCTATAATCGCTGTAGCAGCATTGTGTTGTGGAACTGAGAACTGGATGTTGCTGTTACTGGAGTTACATCCAGTAACAACTGGAACAAGTACACAACGTATTTTTCCCTAACTTTATAACTTTCTTCCAAAGGCAACATGTAGGACTGGGTGTTATTTAGTGGCGTCAGAATAAATGGGGTAGACACAACCACATAACGATTATTACAAACAAACAAAAAAATAATAATTTTCATTACAGTGTAAACATTTGATTCTTATTCATGATGTCACATCTGCTTTAACTTATTGTTATTCATATTATTAGATTTCTCCTCAGTTCGTTTCTGTGTATGTACACAGATTCTTACACGCTTGTGTTTTTTGTGAGGCCGACGGATGCATAACCAAAAGGGCTCTCGTCTCAGCACATCAGTAGATGATTGGCTCCCCACGGTGCATCTTTGATTATTCAGCTAACAGGCCTCCGCAGCAACTGTAGGCAAACCTCTCTGCGAAGCGCTCGCCGCCTCCCCGCCTCCCTCTGCGTTCTTTAAAAACCCGTCCCTCCGTCTCTTCTTCCTCTCCTTCACTAATTCTCTGCCTGCATCTGTCGCTCGTCTCTTTTCTCCCTCCCTGCTACACCGACTCCCAAGTTTAACAAGATGCCAGGGGACTTACATGAGAGTACACCCAGAAATTTGTTAAAGGGATCTAAACAAGGGATGACTCATCCCCAGATGGCTCTATTTCCATCTCTTCAGATCTGACATTTTTTTGGGTTTTTTTCCCCTTTACCCACTGGTTTTGAGATCTTTATCAAGTTAGGCACCTATTTTTTTTCTTTCAGGAAAGATAAATAAAAGTGGCTTGATCATCGCAGGTGTCTGAGTGATGCATCAGAATGTAACCAAAGAATAATAACTTTTTTCAGTCTGTATTTAGCTTCTACATGAGTCTGTCACACTAAATATTTCCACATTTTGGAAAAACTTCATCGCATTTTATTGATTTTTGATCAGTAGCGCCAAGTTGAGATCAAAGTACATGTTTATTTTCACTTTTTTAAAAATATTACATTTGCAAAGGTTCGACTGGATTTCCGTCTGAACCTTTATCTTCTTGTTCCAATGGATGAAAGTTGAACCTCTGGACAGTCTCATAGGTTTACATTTCGCTTCATCCATCTTCCCATTAACTCTGATCAGTTTTCCTATGCATACTAAAGAAGAGCATCCCCTTGTGGCAAAAGGCAAACTAGACATTCCATGGCTTTTCTAAGCAAAAGCTGTCCTCTTGCTTCCGTCTTATTTTTGTTTTGCACGTATCCACAAAGCCACTGAATTCAATGTGGGTCTCTTTTGGTTGTTTAATCGTTGGCTATCGACGTCAATGAATCCCTCTTTTGAGAGTTTTGTTTGTAAAACATAACTAAAAAATCTACTGTCTCACTTCCACTGCGTTATTAATGTACACATTGAAGAAATCTAAGTCGTAGTGTCCATTAGATGGTTTCCACCGTCTTCCTAGATCTTTTTTTTTTTTTTTTTTTTGTGCCTGTGTCACCTTCGGAGTCATATGACGTAAACTGAAATTTCCTGAAAATTGTACAGATGTCCGCCTGCAAAACTGGCAAGCATGGACATGTCGACATCATCACTAACAAGAAATATCAAAACAGGTTCTTATCCACCTACAATATGGATGTATCCTGCATTAAGAAGAAGGATCACCAACTGGTGAGCATCAGTGGAAACTATGCAACCTTAATAAGCAACAACATTGACATCAAAGCGATATGTGGTACGAAAGACAAAAAAAAAAAAAAATCCTGCAGAGTATAGTGAGAGGAGGTGAAGGGGTGATTAAAGCATCCCACCCAGTATTTACCACTGCAGCAACAGCAGTTCAAACATTGCCAGAAGCTTCTCGAATCCTCCCCATGAACTTTCAATCCGTTCAAGCTGCATGTCCGTGAGAACGAAGACAGCAAGGAAGTTGAGGCAAGGTTTTAAGTGGGGGAAGGCTTCATGGTCACTGTGATGTCTGCTTTTGGTTGAGGGATGTGCCGTTTGCTAACAAGGCTTTTACTTAAAGGCAACGGGCACAAACCCCAAACGCTCTCTGGTTGTGTCATAAACGTTTCAGCCTTCAACAGTCTGATGTAATTTCTCTCATCAGTCGTCTCTTTTCCCCTTCCCTCCACCTGGTCGCTTGTTCCTTGTCTTTCGACTGCTGCTAAAAATAAAGCTCGCCGTCTCTCTGTCATGCAGCAGCTCGCTGCCTGATTGCTGAGTTTTTGCTCAGAAGCAGTTTGCTTCACAGAGAAACCGTCTTTCAGCTGTCTGATAACATCTTTCTTAAATTTTTTGTGAAGTAGTTTTATTGTGAAAACAAGGCCAAAGCACTTTGAGCAACAGCTTTATCCTTCGCAACGAGTCCTACCTTTGGAAACGTGTTTTTACATAAAGACAGCACAAGTGGATGTGTGGCAAAGAATCGAGCTTCTGTTCACATTCTGGCCTGTTTACTGGCGCAGGATAAAATCCATAGGGGTTCAATTCTCCGTTTGCTCACCTGAAATCAAGAGAAGCTTCTATACAGCACATAGTCTGTCAACGTTTGTGTCTGTTACATCACATAGACTATTAACATTGTTCCTTGTGAAGATGTCAATGACTCTCAGGCATGTTCTAAATCTTTAAAATAGCTGTAATCTTGTGGGTCTGCTACATTTATGCTGTTGTAGACTCCATCTTGTAATCAAAGAACAAATGTAAAGTGGTATCCCCATTCCATCACAGCAGCAACATGTTTCTGAATTGTTCAGTCCCCAAATATTTCTAACATGAAACCCTTCTGTGACTCGCAGATCAGATCGATTAAGATCGTAGGAACAATCTGCGACTGTTAACGTTTCTGGTCGCACGACGTTACAAAGAACTGGTGTGTTTCCATAACAATGGATCACATGATAAGACTACTTTTGAGAATCCTACAGAGGATTACTGTCAGACTGCGGCTTCCCAGAGCTCCACAGAGCGTACAACACCGCTCAGCTCATTGCCTCTTGTTGCTGCTCTTGAGCGTAACTGTGTCACTCTTAAACTCTCTGCAGGCTCATTATTGCACTCATCAACTTTGTTTCTATACTCATTTAAGTTTGCAGCAAGTGTTAAAAAAATGGAGAAAAAAAATAACAAATTCAGAGACTTTAAAAAAAAGAAGTTCTTGTTCATTGACCACTTCAATTCCCTCTGCAGGACTTCCTCACAGATCTGATGATGTCTGAGGTGGACCGCTGTGGGGAGAACGAGCACCTCATCTTCAGGGAAAACACTCTGGCCACAAAGGCAATTGAGGAGTACCTGAAGCTGGTTGGTCAGAAGTACTTGCAGGACGCCCTGGGTGAGTAATCAGGGGTCATGATGACACACAAGATTAAACTTGATGTTTGATCTTAATGTGTTCATGTTCTCTTCTGAAGCAAGTACTTTTCCAGTTATTGGCACCTCAAGTAAAGATGTGTGAAAAATACTTAAAATACCTTTAATTTATTGGAAAATGCAGAAAAATAACAACATGTAATACAGTGACAAGGACTTTTTTCATTTTTGTGGCTTGCATGCCTATCAAACAAACAGCTGACATAATGGTAGTACGTAGGGGTTTTTATGAAGACATGGTAACGCATTGTCTAAAAGAAGTTTTGATGCGGTTTTCCTGTTGGAGCACACATTCCCTTCTTTGCTTAAATTTGGCCATCTTGCAAGAAGATTGCACCCTCCCAGTGTAAATTTACCTTTTATTTTTTGCTCTTAATTGACAGTTGCAGCAAAAGTATCTCTGTAATCGTCTCTCCCTATTTTTATCCGTCTCTGTCCTGTGAAGAGACTTGCCTCAACAGCAATTTTCGCATTACACAACAATGATGATGGAAAAATAACCACCTCAACTTTTTGTCGTTTGAAGCCGAAGAAAATGAGGAATTGCCCCCAATTTGTGGTTCGCTTTGTGTTTGTCCTCGTTGCTGATGCAGTCTGGTCCTCCCTCATTAGCGCTCCCACGGTGCGTCTTAGAGAAAACGATTGTGTTTTGTGACAAAGTAATTTTTTTTTTCAGTCCATGCTCTCAAACATCGAGTCAACAGTTATGTAAATGATGAGTGAAATTAAGGACACCAACGTTGAGATTAATTATGCTGTTCAGATGCTGCGGGGTTTGTGGTCTGTACTGGACTGCCATTGCAAATATGGGTTAAGATGCGATCAGCCAAACATTAGAGGAACTTTTCCAGAAAAGAACTGTGGTGTGGTTTTCCTCTGCTGTGAATGCAGATCAGCCTCCATGCAAACCAACTACAGCAAATATACATGTTTTCGTTTCACTTCACAAGTCACATTTGCTGAGGATTATGGTAAATGTCCTTCATCAATAAAGGTACTCCTTTAGCGATGCAGCAAGCATTCTGTTGCTCCCAGGTCTGTTCTTTGCTCCGGCCTCGTCATTTCAGATTGTCTCAAGGTTGATCTGCTGGAAAATACACCACCATTGTAGAGCCATACTCAAAAGGCTTGAGGCTACAATTGGTGAAAAATGTCCTGCAATGACGGTCAAACTTAGGTGCCGATTATGCTTAATTTTTTTGTAAACCTGTTTTTATTGTATCATTATGGAGTATTTTGATGGGTTTTAGAGTTTCTGAAACAACACAAAGTGATGTTGAGGTGTGGATTGCTTCACGATGGCCCTGTTTTCTCTCCTTTGCAAACACAACATTAGTGACTATGAGAGCTTTTAACATCATCGTTTCTTCTGAGCAGATTAACTAACGAGCTGCGATGTTCCACACAATGTTCAGCAAAGGTTAACACAAATTTGTTTGTCCATCTGCAGCTCTAAAAATAAGCACTTCACATGCACAGTGTGCTCTTCTGTCTGCTTAATTTAGAAATGTACACAGCAGAGGGTTTAATCTACAAACAGTTCACACATCTTCTCAGCACCCATCACGGTTATCTTCGTTCGTTAGCAGTGTCGACGCTTGTTGTGTGCGTTTACATGCCTCGCTGTGTGGCTTGTTTTACAGCTGGAATGTTGCTCTGTTTAACTTTGACTTTGTCTCAAGGTTGACTTGGATAAAAGTGGCCAGTTGGAATCGCTGGAATGTTTTTTGTTGTTTGTCGTCTGACTAAACTGTTATGAATTTGTGGGGACGGAGAAAAGGGAGACGAAAACAGACCTATTTCTTGTTCAGAGATTTTGATCTCAGTATCTTTATTTACTGAAGCTGGTTTCAATTTATGGACTGACTCAGGCACATTTTATATTGGAATGGGAACACGACATTCTCTTAAAACATTTAAATAAAATCAAATGCTGGTTTTGGAGTGCTAACCCTCATCATGGAATAGAACGAAAGTTTCCCCCAACTGTTTTTGAGCATGGATAAAACTTCCAAGACAAGATTTCAGATTTTTTGGGTGTTTGTGAACGATGTGTGGATTTATCATTAAGGAGAGAGCGCACTTACTGCATGCATGCCATGGCTGCAACGACCTCATACCCACACCCGGCTGAGAACATTCAGAGAACTTTATTAAATGCTCAACTGCTATGGAAATTGAACAATTCATCACTCTCAGCTGGGGAGAAGCGCACACACCTCCAAAATGTGTGTAAACTGTCTGACTAAAGAAGCACAAGTCTTTATTCTGCACTATAAATCCGAAATGTACCTATTAAAATAATAAAAAAATTAAAAATCACATTATATAAGAGGAGAAAAGTATAATATAATTTACAATAATCTTGTAGCGTTACAGAAATCTCCTTTGATGCTACAAGCTAATATTGCAATCAATCTATTATTGAGCTCCTACTAGCTAAACACCAAAGATTTTTCATTACAATGTACATAATTTCTCCATGAAGTATATAGGTGGTTTCTGCACCTCCACTATAAGTTCTAAGCTTCCTGCAGAGAAGCAAACACCATATCTGGACTGTCTTTACCTTTCATTGTACTTAGGTTTTCCAGATTTGTTGCAATATAGCCAAACTTGTTTTAGAAAAGTTTGAAACTGTTGAGTGGTCTTAACCCAACATGAAACATTGAAAAGTGTTACCTTATTTGTTCTCAGCTTTGCTGTCTTTTGAAAACACGTTAACTCGACGTGTTGCCTCAAACTTTTTCTTTTGTTTGATTTTTATTTATTTATTTATTTTTTCTTCAGGTGAATTTATTAAGGCTCTGTATGAGTCGGATGAAAACTGTGAGGTGGATCCATCCAAGTGTTCCTCTGGTGACCTGCCAGAGCACCAGAGCAACCTGAAGATGTGCTGTGAGCTGGCCTTCTGCAAAATCATCAACTCATACTGGTGAGAGCTGCAGTGAATTCATTTGCCTTCTACATGCATTAATCCAAGAGTGTTTGATTGCACACATTGTTTCACTAACGACGGCCATGGGTCGCCATACATTTGATTCTTAAGTGTTTTATTACAAAATCAAACACATTTGTGTTTCAAATGAGCCTTAATTATACCTCAAATTATAAGTCACACGTCAAGGTGCTATTTTCATGTTTCGCTTTGGATTTGCTGCAGTGTTTTTCCACGAGAACTGAAAGAAGTCTTTGCGTCGTGGCGGCAAGAGTGCAGCAGCCGGGGTCGGCCGGACATCAGCGAGCGGCTGATCAGCGCCTCGCTGTTCCTGCGCTTCCTCTGCCCGGCCATCATGTCGCCGTCACTTTTCCACCTCATGCAGGAGTATCCCGACGACCGCACGGCGCGCACGCTCACTCTGATCGCCAAAGTCACACAAAACCTGGCCAACTTTACCAAGTGAGCTTTTTGTCGATGCTTTTCCTCTAATCGAAGGCGACACCTTTCATTGTGTGAAAGCAGCACAAATCGAGGGCGTTGTAGAAACTTTCTTCAACATCTTTCCATGCATTTTTTGTCTGTCCGCAGATTCGGAAACAAGGAGGAGTACATGTCCTTCATGAACCAGTTTCTGGAGCATGAGTGGACCAACATGCAGCGTTTCTTGTTGGAAATCTCCAACCCCGAGACAATCTCAAACACGGCTGGTTTTGAAGGCTACATTGACCTCGGCCGGGAGCTCTCGACCCTGCACTCGCTTCTGTCGGAGGTGGTCTCCCAGATGGACCAGGTACGAAGTTACCTGTGAACTAAAGGCTCAACTGTCGACTTATGTAACCAAAATATGTAACCAAACAGATGAATGTGACCATTCAAGTGTGCGTTTGTCAGTGTTCATGGTACTCATTCCTAGTGACACCTGGTTAAATATGCCTTATGAAGTTGCATCTTGTTTCCGTCCTGTAATCAGTTGTTGGGAAGCACTGCTAATCCACATAGTTTGCTTTTGCCATTCCTTCTTAAATCAGGGAAATTGTATGGTTAGAATCAGCATACTCGATTATCATTTTGAGATTCAACTGTTCTGTTTGGTTAAAAAATTTTACTTTGTCTAAATTGTTTAGTTTGTTTTTATACAGTGACTACAAATCTTTAACAGAGGACTGTTCCAAAACTTGGCATTAGCCTTTTTTCCAGTCCAAAACTAGTTTTTTTTTTTTTTTTTTTTTTTTCATTTAGGATCAGAATTGACTTAAAATGCCCAGCAATGTCCTGATTTCAACCACTTGACCCAAACTTTCACCTCCAGATGAAATGTGGAAGAATCAAGAATCATGGTGTCATTACGGATCATGGATTATATAGGTTGACTTTGCTGTACATTGTTTTGGTAAAGAGGGAAAGAAAAATCCTTAGGAAGGATTTTTCCAATCTTTAGCTTCAACACATCTCAACAGCTGGACAATAAAAACGGTTGCACAACTAGTGATCCCAACACACAACAAAACATGTTTTTGAATGGATGAAACCAGATGAGATCATGCTTTTGCTCTGACCTCAACACTTTTGAAAATTGGTGAACAATATAAATAAGCAGATCACAGTTTCACTTTCTTTTTAAGGTCATGATGATAAATGTTTACGATGCTGTGAGAGATGTGTTGTTTTTATGGGAGGCATCTGACAGAATATAGACCTCAAATTTCGTGTTGTTAGTAAAGGTTCCTCTCACCGCAACTAATTCTGCCAAGAAAAGTGATCAAATAACCACAAACAAGACATGTCAATGGGGACAGAAAGGCTGCGGATCCTGTCAGTTTACTAATGGACATTCATCCAGAGTGTATGTGTGGTTGTTAGTTGCATAATAATGCTGCAATGGAAAAAAAAAAAAAAAAGAATCAATAGGAGACCAAAACAATTACATAAACACTTCTGACCAGAAATCTATGTACGTTTTTAATCTATAAATCTGTGCTTTATCTTCTCAAAACAAGCTTTGATCTATACATTTTAAATGCAGCTTTTTTTTATTTTTGCCAAGTGCTGGTCATCAAAGATTTCCTGTGCGCTTGGCTTTGAATCCTGCTTAGGCTTTATCTGCATGTTTATCCCAAATCAGTCAATATTTAATGATTTCATTACATAAGGGGTCCACAAAAGAGGGCCAGTGTAAAGTATTTACAAAGTAAAGCACATTAGTTCTGGTAGCTGAGGATTGTTATGCTGTTTCTAACACTGTCTTTCAATGATTTAGAGATCACCGTCTGGACTAGCCTGCAGTCCACCAGGCTGCCCGTCCTGTTTCATTATTAATCATGTTGTCTGAATACGACGGTCGGTTCCACGGTGCGGGGGAATAAGGGGATGGAAATAAATAAAAACCATGCAGGTTTAAAAACCATGCAGATCCAAAATCTAATTAATACCTAATCCCCCGGTGGATCCTGAGGAATCTTTCATCTGGCTCTGATTTTCATTGTGTCTGTCTTCACAGAGCATGGCCTCAAAGCTGAGTCCTCTGCCCAGAATCCTTCGCGAGGTGAACACGGCTCTTTCTAACCCGTCCTGCGTCCAGATGACCCCCGGGCCGCCGTCGGAGCCCGTGGGTTCCCCTCCCGCCGAGGCCGGCTGCAGCATTTCCACCGGGCTGCAAAAGATGGTCATAGATAATGAACTATCGGGGTGAGAGTCATCGACGTCATGTCGTAGGCGCAGACCGAATTTATTTGTGTATCTGTTATCAGTCAAACACCCATATGAGAGCGAAACGCTAAAATATCAACAGAGTTTACCAGATGGCAAGCAGCAAATCTGCTGACGGAAAACGCATTTCTGCAGGTTTTAACTGCAGAGCTTTCCATTTGAACTTCCCACACTATAAATAAACACGGCAGGGTTCTCAGTTTGTTTTTTTTCTCAAAATCTTTCTGTGAAAGACATTAATATACCCCAGTTGAGGTATTTTTAGAAATTTGACAATGACTGAACCAAACCTAGCCGAGACAGATCAATCTGCCCGCACTCATGGCGGAGAGAGCTCATTACGTGCTGATTGATCTGTGAATCAGTCTGCAGTTACTGAACTCGTGAATAAAGACTGTGTGGCAGGCAAGCTCATTTAAGCTTTGCACTGATGTGTCAACTGTTATTTTCACATCCTGATTGGGGGTCTTCTCTAAGTTCTCTTTTCACAGTCTTGTAGTTCTCACGTTAATTTTTGGCAAAATACGACAACTAGTTTGAATGTATTGTGTTGGGGTTTTATTTGTTAGATGTGTTGTTTTTTTTTTTTTTTTGCAAAACATTGCTTTTTGAAAACAAAACATCATCCTGATGCTGCAGTTCCAGGACATTCGGGATGCTTGAAAGTGGCAAAGTGACATTTTTACAAGACATGGAAATATCTAAAAAAAAAAAAAAAAAGAATTTCAATTCCCACAAATCCGATCTGCTTTGAAGCATCTGCATGTCGCTGTTTGCGCATCCTTGGCTAGGCCAACAACAAATGCAGGTTGTTTTCTCTTCCTGTCTGTTTCAGGTTAATGTCTGTCAGTTCTGGCTGTGACAAGAAGCGAGAGTAGCACCTTTGCTTGTTTACATCACCTTTGCATAGCTTCTTCTTTTTTTTTTTTTAATCTTTGATGAATACACGCTCACGTCCGCTTATGCTGCCTGTGTCCTCGCAGCACAATGACAAGGAGATGCTTAAAAAGATTAACATGAAAGTGCAAAGACTAATAGCGGCGTTCTGCGATCTGCAGCCGCCGTCATTGCAGAGCAGATGACAATGTGTTGAGGGGAAACAGGAAGTGAGTCAGACAGCTTCTATCATTACGCTCATCAGGCTTCAGGATCAATGGAGCTAATTAACTGCTGGCCCCATTTATAACCTGATGTCGGAGCCTCTCATCGTTACTTTATCCTAATGAATGTTTGCTCACACGCAGCAGCGACCAAAATTCAAATGAGCTTCAAGATTCTGCGTTAATTGCTTCCCATCCGCTAACCTGTGACATGAAAAGGAGGAGGGGAGATGAGGCAGCAGGAAGAAATTGGGCAAGAATGAAAAAGAGAAACAGGTTAAAAGAGAGGAAGGGTAAAGAGACTCGGGGAGAAGAACGAGTCGAGGGAGAAAAGCTGAGCGTGACGTGACTGATAGGTTCTAGCAGGATGAGTCACAACTGTCAAAGTGTCTTTTTGGCAATCAGGACTCCATCTGTCAGTGGAGGAGAGGCAGGAAAGAAAAACGGGATGAATGAGAAAAGGCATCAATATATTTATTTTTCTGCATTTAAAAGAGGCTGTGTAATGGGGTTTTTTTCGGAGGGGGCCCGTTTTTTTTTTCTTCTTTTTTTCCATCTTTTCAGAGAAACCAGATATGTAGAGTTTCAATATTCACACAGGGGGGAATTATTTAATCCCACAAAGAACGTGGGATGCCTTGAATGCCTACAGCACGAGACTAAGAGTCCAGGCTTTTCTCCCTGGACTCTAAGTCTCACATTAGCTGATTCAAGACAAACATATTTGACACGATCCAGAATGATCAACTGCATCCTTTTTTTCTGCTTTGAGTAAATCAGTTTTGTTGACATGCAGCTATAATTTAAATCCATCCATCCATCCATCCATCCATTATCTGTTCACCCTTGCCCCTAGTGGGGTCAGGAGTTGCTGGTGCCCATCTCCAACTGCGTTATGAGCGAGAGGCGGGGTCAACCTGGACAGGTCGCCAGTCTGTCGCAGTATAATTTTATTGGCTTTCCTTACAGTTGTGTTTATTTCTTTCCAAATTAGACCAAAACTTTATTGCAGTGGAATACACACGAGTTAGCACAACACTCATGAAAAACTTTACTCTTAGTAATCTGGGATATAATTGAAGTGGTTGAAGTCAATTATCTACAAAAGTTCAGTTTTACTTATTTGTATACAGAAAAACAAAGCCATTGGGGAAATGAGGTTAATTGAAACAATTTTTCTTTTTAGCTTTGCTAATGTATTTTGTTTACTTTTGCTGCCCCTCACTAAATCTCTGTCAGGGCATAAGGTTAGAAAGTCGGGCAGAAAAACACTGCAGTCAGGGATTTGATCTTTCATCATTATGATCAGTGGAAGAGGTTTGAACTCCGCCGTCTCTCTGTTCTTTGCTCCTTTTTAACATCTTGGGATTTGGACCCGTAGTAATTTGGTGTAATTTGGGCTTTAAAGATGCCATTCATCTGCTCCTGGTTGTAAAAACAATACTTTCTTGTCATGATTTCGCATCATAACAACTGCCCAGAAGTGAAAAGTTGTGCAGCCTCCATAAACAAGGAGAGCGATTGTCTAAACATGCAACCCGGCAACCAAGGCAAAATATTTTTGTAGACAAAAATCTACAAAAACAACAAATCAGATCTAACGAAACAGAGCCACTCCACTTCTGTTATGCCATCAGGAATGGTGCATATCTACAATTACCCAGCTAAACTCTTAAACACGGTTGTTTTCCCCTGTCTCCTTCAGATTGGTCGACTTCACCCGGTTACCTTCGCCCACTCCGGAAAATAAGGACATCTTCTTTGTGACGAGGAGCTCGGGTATCCAGCCTTCGCCTGCTCGCAGTTCCAGCTACTCTGAGACTAATGAGCCCGAGCTGGGCATGTCCAACGGCAACAAAAGTTTATCCATGGTGGACCTGCAGGACCCCCGCAATCTGGACGCTGGGACAGCTCAAAGCCCTTCAGATGTTCTGGGTGAGAGCCAAGCTTCTGGTGGGGGCTGGCCCGCCAGAGTCTCTCAGGGCAACATCCCAGGCGGTCCTACCATGAGGAGGCCGGGTCAGGCCCCGACCTCCCCAAACACGGACAGCACTCCGGGCCGACCCGCCCAGCTACTTGCCCCGCTGTCCTTCCAGAACCCAGTTTACCAGATGGCGGCCTGCTTGCCAGTGTCTCCTCGAGGAATGACTGATTCGGGGTCAGAGTGCCACAGTTCAGTTAGTTCCCATAGCAACAACGAGGACGGGCCAGCGGGAGGGAAGCAAGCCTTTATGAACCATACCGGCGGCGGAGGAGGAGGCGGGGGAAGCAGCGGCGATGAGTACACCCGACGTTCTGGGGAGTTCAACCGTCGGCAGCTGTCGCTAACGGAGACCCAGCATCAGCCCACCGTCCCGAGGCAGAACAGCGCCGGCCCCCAGAGGAGGATAGACCAGCCTCCCCCCCAGAGCGTCACGCGAGGCCGTACCCCGCCGAATCTGCTCAGCGGCGGCCCGTACCCTCGCCCCACCTCCGGCAGCATGATGACGTCGTCGCCCGACTGGCCGGCCAGCGGCGCTCGTTTGCGGCAGCAGTCGTCCTCCTCCAAAAGCGACAGTCCCGAGACCAAACAGAGAGTTCAGTGCAAACAGGTCAGTGTCAAAAAACACAACTGTAACGACGACATTATAAATACTATTAATAATAAAAAAAAGAAATAATACAACTCATAAATCAACCTTGAACTGTCTCTGGAGGTAAATACAGGAGATTACGGATATTAAAGAAGAGCTATTCATGAAGGGAAGCCTTGGTGGGTGTAATCGCACAGACAGCACATTTCACCCTAATGAACTCCAGTCACACACAGCCTGTGTAATAATAGTTATTTCCATACAGGCGCCCCGTCCCCACAGCACTGCGGCACAGCTTGAATCTTATTAGATAAATGTACTGTAGCCTCCACACAGCTGAGGTCAGAAGTTTACATACACTAATCAGGGCCATAAAAATCATTCATTTTGAGCTTGTGAACTGTTTTGCTTTTGAGACAAAAAAACAACACTAAAATGGATTTTTTAAATTCACGCTGTGTCAAAATTATACATACGTGTTTAAATATAAACGTAGATCTTAAGCTGGATCTTCACCGCACACCTTGTTTAGCTGTGAACAAGTCTTTAACGCAATTCAGTATTTAACGCTTCTTGGCAACAAATTCAGTTATATCTGTTGCGTTATCAGCTCTTTGAGCATAATCAACAAACATATTTGTAGTTTAGTCGAGTGTACTTCAGTGAAGTGTAGACTAGTTCAGTCGCGGGTGTGTAGTCAGTCTAGCACAGCATAGGATAAGAGAGCCACTGTGTCCCTAAATTTGGAAGCTTCACTGCAATGGCTCCAAATACTTTTCTTGCCGTTGTGCCTAAGCAGCTTCAACTTTTCATTTGTGACCATTAAGCTGTCCTCAGGATGAGGGTGTAACATATTGGTAACTGTGGACATTAACACATGAAAGTGTTGATTCTTTTGTGGTGGGCGCTCACTATGTCCATGCTGATGGTGAACCTGCTTTACTCACATGACCTTTGACAGAAAAAAATATATATATAAATGAATCATAGAAAGAAACGAATAACTAAACAACGGAGGCAACTCTTGCTTATGATAAGTGTATGTAAACGTCTGACTAGTGCTACATTTTTGGTTTTGGTGTCAGGTAAGTCTGTTTAAAGCTCCCAGGATAAAAACACTGGACACTAAATATTGCACCGTATCATCTGATGTCAAAATATCTGCATCTTGGCTATAATCTTCTCAATCTCTTTTGTTGAAAATGACAATTGGTTGAATGGCTCAACAAAAAAGACACCAGGTTTGATAAGAGTACTTACAGTAAATCGACATTTGTCCTCACCTCACGTATGAGGTGAGATGAAACACACTGATGAAGAAGTACCTGGATTCACTTCACTATATTCTACTACTGTAGGCTTTAGTCATCCATTAACTTGCAATTATGTGATGCCATATCAATGTTAAAACCTATGCAGAACGAGATTTGAGATGTTTTTGCTGATGTAAACACAGGAAACGTAGCTCGGAACATCATAACACACATATGAAGCGCAAAGAATCCCTCCCTCTTTCCTGTAACTCTGAACCTAGCTGGATGAAACGCCTAGCAACAAATCTACCAATCAAAGGTGAGCAGAGAGGGAAGCCGTCTAATCCAATGAAGCCAGATCACTTTTAAACTAATCAACTCTCTGACAGCTTTTTGCTCCCCTCTCTTTATCTCAAGTATCCACTTCCTGTGCTGCCATTATGCGAGGAGTTCTCGTACAGATTTGAAAAGTGTGTGTGTGTGTGTGCCGCAGGGGAAGCTTGCAGACAAGTGTGTGCATCCATTCCACCTGCTGCTTTTCAGCCCAGATCAGTTGGAGCATTTCAAGCTTATTTTTGTTGTTCCTGTTGTGTTTTTGTTTGCAACCTCCCTCCTGCCCCCTTTCCCCGACACTTTTCATTCAGCTCATGTGTGTGTCTGTGTGTGTGTGTGTGTGTGTGTTGGTTTTATTAGGCCCCCTCCCCAGTGAACCCCAGTGCGCTGGACCGCACAGCAGCCTGGCTTTTGAATATGAATGTGCAGTATTTAGACCATGAGGGGATGGAGCCCGAGTCACTAAGAAACAGAGAGGATCTGACTCAGGTGGAGAAGGTAACCCCCCGTCATCCAACCTTTGACCTTTAGCAACCCCACACCCTTAGCTTTGATTCCCTCCTGCCCCTCCACTGAGCTCTCTCTCTCTTCTTTTCCTCACCGTGTGGCTCATACAGTGCTTTGAAAAAGTCTGCTTACTCTTTGGAGTTTTTTTGTTTGACCACAAACCTTAACATGTTTAACAAGGAAGTTTTGGGACGAATGAACACCAACACTGGAGTGGTTTTTAGAATTTTTTTTTACAAAAAACATTCCAAGTGTGCCGTTTTGGTTTTGTATTCAGCCCCCTTTTACATAAACATAAATGAAGATCAATGAAAACAACCTGTCTTAAAAGTCACCCAATAAGGAGAAAATGTTCCTGTGTGTGAAAGTTATTCAAAAATCTGTTGTCATCTAGGAAACAGAGGAGAATGTGTTCTGGACATATGAGACCAAAGTTTTTTTTGCCTACATGCAAAACGCTGTGAACTGTAACTCACCGTATCGGTTGCAGAACACGGTGGTGGCAGCGTTATGCTATATAGGACTGATTCTTCTGGCAGCAAAAGGTTCAAAATTATGTATTTTGGTTTTACCAATAATTTTAAGTAATATCATTTTGGAGAGTTCTAATTTTTATTTGACGGGAAGGCGGGGGATGATTAGGGTGATGACAAGTCTCAAAGACTTATTACCAGAGATAAATCAACTTTGATTTAAAAATAAACTTTGATTTAAAAATAAAAGTAGAAACGTGCAAAGAATGGTAGAAAGTTGTAGAAAAAATGTAAATAAAAACACAAAAGCAATAATGCTGTAAATATGATATTTATGCTCTGCTTAACCTTCAACTGTCATAAAAAGAAAGCCAGAGCTACTGCCAAAATGTTTCAGATTAGCATATTCATTTATAACGCCACACAGTCTTTGTCCAGGTCTAAATCCTACTGAGAATATTGCAAAAAAGAACGGACATAAATGTCGCCAAATTGGTAAATGTTCCTAAAAAGATGGCTGAATACAAATATACAAAGCGTTAATCCTTGTATCCTTTTTCTGTCACTTCACAACTTTGTGTTGCTACAAAAATATCGTAATAAAAACAGAAATTTGCAATGTCATGACAAAATACATCAATATGTGGAAGCGGTATAGATACTTTTACAAGGCACTGTATTCAGCTTCTGAAAACATCTATTTTTTTTCCTCCTGTTGATCTGATGTAGCATTCCCACTTTGCTCTTTATTTTGATTTAGACTTGTGAGAGATTCCTAAATCACAATTATATATAATTACAGCCTCTATCAAATCTAACTGTCCCATGTAAGCACAATATGTATTTTTGCCTGTATGTCAGACTCCAAGTGTTGTAAAAATGTTGTTCATTGCGCTAATTACACAGAAACGCAGTAACACTTTTTTAGCCACTTTTTTAGTCTCCGGGCACCAGCACTCAATATCAGAACTACTACTGCAACAACTTCATTAATCTGTTGATTATTTTCTTGCTAATAGGTCAATTGTTCTACCTGCAGGCTAGTGGAAAGTACCATTTAAATAGATTAAGATGTCTTTCTCGTTCAGCCAACTGGAACTAATTCAAACTCATTCAATGTATATAATTTGTGAGAGAGAACACCTTAATTGTTCTCCTGTAAGCTGAGTAAGCACTTTCCCACCTGGAAAAAAACAAAACAAAACTGAAATAAATAGTCCTTTATTCAATCTCAATTTCAATATATTAGGGTTATTTAAGAAATGAAAATCTGATGTTGTATAAACACAACCAGCATAAATAAAACCACATATAAAAAATATATATATTTTCTTAGAACCCTTCCCCCTCTCACATCACAAAAATAAGATTTGAAACCAAACTTAGCACCACATACGTGCGTATGAGGATGAACACACCGAATATCTTCACAGACTGCTTGTAGCCTGTGCGTGCATGTGTGTGATCGAGACAAAAAGTCGTTTTTGTGCCGCTTCCTCTGCTTCCCAGTGTCTACAGCTGTTCATCGCTGCTCTGCTTCTCATGCTTTGTTTAGTTCCCACATGCTCCCTCTCTTCGTTTTTTTTCCCCCCACCCGCCTATCTATAATAAGAAGAAACCTGTCATCCTAACATAGCTCATGCCTTATAGAAGCCAGCAGCCCTGGAAGGGAGAACTACCAAAGAAGGCAATAACTTGAGTCTTAACAAAGAAACAACAGCCACCCTGGAAGAGCAGAACGGACTGGAAGACAGTACGGCCTCCACAGAGGCGAGCCGACACTAACCATCTTATGCAGTGTTAAATTCATTTACAATGCGCAGTGCGTGTCGTAGGAGCTGTAAAAATATAGGGCATGCTTTATCCAATATGGAAATATTCATGAGTCACAAATCTTGCATTTCTGAATTCACTCGAGTTAAAAAAAAAGAAAGAAAATATTTTCAGTTTATATGAATATTTTCTTTTTCTAGCAGCATTTGCATATTCCATCGCAAAAACAACATTTAGGGTCATGCATAATATTACTTAATCACAGAAACAACATATCAAATATTCAAATTAAGAGGGTTTTTTTTCTGTCTCTCTTTCTTAAAGATAGCTAAATTAAATAGTTGAGAAGTAGAAAAAATTATTCATGAACCAGTGAGCAAGGGAGTTTAATAAGTGCATCTTAGTCATTGAGAAGTAAGTATAAGGAGTTGGGATGGACTCTGAGCGTTCCACTAAACAAGTTCAGTAAGATGTCTCCTGTTGTGAATTTGCAAAAAAGTTTTTGCAAATTCAAACTTCAGAAAAATATTTTCTTGTTTTCACCTCCTCACTCTCTCTGCTCTACCAAAAAATGTTGAAACTCCAGACCGGTAGATGGAGAATACTGACTAAGGAAAAATGAAGAAAAGTCCATTGTGAGCATGTTCAGCACCCTCTTTGTTTTTTGACACCCTCGTTGAAGAAAAGGCTTAAAATGCAAACCTATTTTAAAGTAGTTACATAATTTCCCTCTGAATAAATCTAACAATGAGATTTACACTTTTATTTTTTATTTTTTATTTTACCAGTCTTACTCTTACCATCCTCCTCATTGTGTGGGGTTTGAGATAAAATTAGACCCTCCTCCAGCATTATTTGTCACAGTTCTAGTTTTTTTACTTAAGATTTACCTTGGAAATTATAGTGTTTACTTCATTAAAGATGACCGGGAGGAAAGACATTTATGTTGTAATAACCCACAATCGAGCCTAAAGACTTATAATTGCACAACCTGAGTGCTGCCTACTTCTGGATCTACAGTACCTTGCAAAAAATAAATAAATAAATAAAAAGAATTTGCACATCTTAAACTTTTAGACCTTAGTCACATTACAGCTACAAACCATTATGCACCTTAGAAGTTCAAAGCTTTTTGAACAAAAAATATACTGACACTGTTCCAACTATAATCTGAACACTGGCATAAATCCGGCACAACTGGAATCCTACCAAGACGTCCACTTCATCGGAGATGCAGCCGAGAGCTGCAGAGATCAACAGGAAAAAATCTCACAACAGAAAATCCAGTCTTTGTGAATTACATTAATCTGTTCTTTTCAGAAAATTTGTAAGAAAAACCAAAAGAAAGTCATGAGAACTAAATACAACTTTATGAACTGCATGCAAAACATCATTTGAAGCAAGAAATCTACATCTTCTGGAGAAATAGTAGTGGTAGCATCATTGTGGATCAGGGTTGAAGGGACAAGGGAAATCCAATGAGAAATCCCCCGAGGTCATACTCATCTTTAATCGTGACAGAAAAGCTCTGGTCGTGAGCTGAAAGCAGCGGCCTGCGGTTGTCCAGTGTGACAGGCGCACCGACAGCCGATTTTGCACCGTCCCAACCAAAGACAGCCGGCAACAAACACCAAGCGGTGTCAAAATGTTTCTGTGACCGAAACATCCGATTTCTGAGAACAGGAGACGTGTTCTCAGTCATGAACACGTCTCCTGTTGCTTCCCCTCCCCTTCTCGCCGTTTTGCTCTAATAATAAGTGCATCAACGCCTGTAACTTGCTGTCTTTTCCCCGACTGACTGACGTGTCTGTCGGATCTATATCGCTCGGTGTGACACGACTTGCCGTCATATCAAGTTCACGGAGGGTGACATGTTTGAGTTCTCTACCCTTTGTTAGACTCCACAGTGAGTGCTGCAAAACAGCAAGGCGATCCTACCGCACACACAACCTCGTCAAAGTCCATGCCTTAACATAATCAAAAATCTTTGGCAACAAAGATAATTCATGCACTTTTATGCATGAATTATAATACTTTGTCGATTTTTTTTTTTCGAATGTGTCTTTTTTATTTTCTTAAGTCACAATAAATAGGTGGGGAAAAAATTTGTAAAAAGCATAAATAAATTCTAGGATTTTTTCTAAGTGACCAGTTATAATTTTCATCAATACATCAGTAGTATAAGTTTTATGGGTTTAGTTGATATCACACTTTTTTTTTTTTTACCTGCAAGACTTTTCCACAGTAGAAGTCGGGACTGGATATTCCTGAGTTGGTCGGCCTGCTTGTCCGTCTGTCTGCCATATTGGAAGGCATGTGTAATATGATGAAGCAACATCCTTTCCAAAGGAAGCTTTGTCCTAATTTTGCAGCACAGCTCCTCACTAAAACAATGTGTGTTCACTTACATTTGGCCTCATTTCTAAATTTGAAACGGCGACCATTTTTGCACAACCACTCCTTGTGAAAGGTGTCCGCCGTTGGCCCGAACAGAAAGATAACTTTATCTGGAATGTTGTCAGCTGGAGCATCAGGACAGCAGGCAGGCGGAGGGGACATCTGTTCAAAGCTCCTTTGTTTCCCCATCTATCTTTTGTTCTTCCTCTTATCACTATTCACGCGGCGTGTGTTCATTTCGCTCTCCATTCTGCTGAGCTTTGTACACAGGTTGCCGTACGAGCCGCATCTTCCAATGTTGCACGTAAGCAAACGCAGGGAGAACGGTCGGGTGCTCGACTATAGCCGAGCAGGTCAGAGGTCGGGCTCGTTTTGAGGGAGATGGAGAAACAGGACAAAAGCTCGGTCACAACAGATGTCGCTCGCTCTCGAGGGAATCGGTCAAAGAACGGAGGGCGGAAAGGCGAGGATGGCAGACGACAAGACATATCTGTTTGAGGTCACCGTTCCCCCTTGTAGAGATTGCTTGAACAGGAAAATGTCTCGGCGATTTGGCATGCATGGAAGGTGACGGAGAATGATAAGGGATCCCAATAACGTTCTCTCTGCGTGCGAGGCAATCAGATAATTCAGGGTGCTTGGGAAAGGTTACCCGAAACTAAACTCCCTATCAGTTATTGCTGAAGGTTGCAGCATTTCGTTTTGTTTAATAAAAACCCAACAACAACAAAAATAAAAACAAAATCAATCCAGATAGGCAAACAGGTTGTATCAAAAATGAACTAAGCTGATGAAGTGTACTTTCACCTGCTCTGTGGCAACGAACCGCAAGACAGGAGCTGCAGAGGCCTCTTCTTCTTCTGACACATGCCAGGTGTGAGGTGAGGAAATGCACCGAGCTGTGGGATGCGGCTCAAGGATGAAGTTGATAAAAGTTTAAAGTAGATTCAGGTATAGAGAGAGAAAACAACAACCAGAAGATTTGAATTACCTCACTGACAAGTTTTAAATTCTTTATTTGGAAAAGACGAGCGAGCGAAGATTAGAAATGTAGAAATATGAAATTAGCCACGTTTTCTTATAGAAATGCGGGTAGTTTTGCGTTTAATTCATGTTCCGCTATTTTCGTGTTAAAATCACACGTGAATAAGTCTGTTCAATAAAAACCATGCAGCGCCATCTTCCTCCTACCACTTCCTGTTGTCGTCTTCATCTTTCCCACCGGTAGTACCATCTTGTTTCCATTGCGGGATGGACTAATTTCAACAAAGCTGAAAATCAACCTCACCCTTGCGGAAAAACATTCTATCAGATGGCGTGAGTTTTTATTTTAATTTCCAGAAATGTAGCGACAGACAGACATTTCATCCAAGCTGCTTCATCGTGTTGTAAAATGTGAACACAAAAATAAAATAAATTCCAAGTACTCTTGCGAGGCAGCTGAAAACTTTACAATCTTCCTGATACCTCTCACTCACCACACAGTTTTTTTTTTTTCCTCACCAAAATCAATTTCTACCCTTTACTTTTTCCTTTCTGAAACCCTCCCATGAGGTTCTGTGATGGGCAGACGGAGATTTTTGGGTGTTTAGTTTGAAACTCATCTCTTCCTCTCTTGCTGTTTAGCAAAAGTCTCTCAAATTTCCGTCTCTACTATTGAAAAGCCACGCTGCTCCACAGGCTCTTGGATATATTTTCGGAATTACAGGCATATTTGCACCTTTTTTTCTGTTCTGCCCTCGTGCAGTTAAAGCGAGTACGGCTCCGTGACGACTAGCATCTCTCTTGTCTCTCTTCGGTGCTTTTGCTCGCAGTACCAGCAGGAGATTGCAGTGCTGCAGGAGAAACTGCGCGCCTCCGTGCAGAAGCTGGAGGAGTACGAAGCCCGTCTCAAGGGTCAGGACGAGCAGGCCCAGAAGGTCCTGCTGGAGTACCAGGCCAGGCTGGAGGAGTCGGAGGAGCGTCTGCGCAGGCAGCAGGACGACAAGGACCTCCAGATGAAGAGCATCATCAGCCGGTATGGGAGGAAGAGTCCGGTGTGTGTGCTGCTGTGCGTTTGCTCTTGAACTGTTAACAGCCGTGTCGCCATTTGTTGTTGTGACACCCAGGTTAATGTCGGTGGAAGAGGAGCTGAAGAAGGACCACTCTGACATGCAAGCAGTCGTGGACTCTAAGCAGAAGATCATTGATGCACAGGTCTGTCCAAATATTCTAACTAAGAAAAACATTCACTGCATACAAGATGTTTAATTCATGTTTGCATCTAATCTGGCTGAGGAAAGCGCCAATTTGTTGAGCAAAATATACTTGTTCTGTCTTTCTTTCTCAATTTTCTTTTTCCTGAGAAACAACATTGACTTTTATGACCCCTTTTACAGCACAAAAATAAATTTTAGATATACGTGTCTCAAGTCAAACCGGAAAACATCAGCCCCGCAGCGGGGCATTAATTCAAATTCACACACAGACAAACAAAGGTCATTAATCTCCTTCACGCCCACAGTAATGAGAGTGTGTCGGCCAACAGCCGCAGCTCGGTCACACAGTCTGTGCTCTCAGTCAACAGAAAATGAAATATAAAAAGCTCTGCTCTCATGTTTGGGAGACATGGTTATGACACCCCTGTATCATATTCTCAACAACTTTTTTATTGATAGGTTTGCTTAGGCTGTCATTTTGGCTGTGTTATTGGTGGGTTACATACTTTTCTTTCACAGATCTTCAAGTAAAGTAAGAGTGCTCACTTCAAACTTTAATGCATTATCAAAAGATGAGAATCCCATGAGAAACTCCCATCTTTAAGGGTTTTATTGTCAAGAAGACAATGAGCTTTCTGTTTTTAACAACAGGAAGTTGCAGTCTGCAGTTCTAGAACACTTTGGAAACTTTAATATGGAGGCTGTTCTCAGGCTCATTAGTCATAAAAGTCTACTTTAAAAGACAACAGATTAGTCACTTTTCAATTCAAAATATACTTCCTGTTAATGTAAAAAGTAGTATGTAGTATTTGGAGCTTTTTAATCACCAGTTAATCATCACAAGCAGATAAAATCCTCTTGGCAATCTGTCGGAACGACAGCAAACTCAGACCTTAGCTGAGGAACATATTGCAGCAGCCTGACTGAAATGGGGGTTTTGTTTTCTGAAACGTTTTCCTTCTTGTTCCGTTTTTGTGCAGGAGAAGCGCATAGCTTCGCTGGATGCCGCTAACGCTCGTCTCATGAGCGCACTCAGCCAGCTGAAGGAGCGCTACAGCATGCAGACCCGCAACGGCATCTCCCCCACCAACCCCACCAAGCTGCAGATCACCGAGAACGGAGAGTTTCGGAACAGCAGCAACTGCTGAGGCAGCTCGGCGCGCGTCTGAGGCTCCGGGGCGTTGTACAGCGTATTCGTCCACCCCCTCAGCCCGCCGGCGTCGACGAGTGCCTGTTTATAGATGGACTGTGAGACAAGTGCGTGTGTGTGTGCGTGCCTGCCTCTGTGTGTGTGTGGGTGCGTTTTAGAAAAGCAGTCGGCGTACTTCCGGAAGACATTTCCACTTTTTCTCAGTTTGGAGACAAATGTTTGGCACGAGGACGTTTCGCGCGAGGGGCCACCCAGAAGGAGTGCAGCTCGGAGCGGATCACCAGATGGCCTTCACCGGGAGGCTGGTGGAAAGAGAGAGGAGGCAGGGAAAAGCCTGTACATAAAAACTCTGAGCCGCGCACGAGTTGAGTCGCTGCAAATACCCGAGCTCGCGCCCGTCCACGCCTGGGACAAACCACTATGAAAACCGCAAGCATCGACGATCCGCTCCTCCTTTCCCTCTCCCGACAGCAGAGTGGGCCCATTTAAAACCACACGTTGAGGATTTTCACTTAAGTTTGTCTCCAGAGGTTTGCTTTCCAACGCTTTATCTCAAAGTTTATGTTTTTAAAGAACCAAATATGAGCTATAAATAGATATTTTTAAATCCAAAACAATCTTCTCCACGTCCTTTTTAACTCAGAGGTGTGTTCCTGAGCGTCCCGTTTACCCTGTCAAACCCCCACTCACCTCCTCCTTCCCCCTTGCCCCCAAAGCAGTGCACTTTGTGAAAAGCTATTGGTACACGAAACGCCTTAACTAGGGAACACACCTCGACTTTAACCCCGCAGCTCCTCCCGATTCTGCAAAAACTCAAAAAGCCACCCCATAAAGGCACAACTTATACTGTGGATTTGTAGAGAAAACGACATAAAACGAGATGAGATGTATTATAAACACTAAAGTAAATGAATTCTATGTGATGCTATATTAATGAAATTTAACATAGATGTATGCATTTTTTTTCTTCTAGAATATACACAGACATATACCTATATTTGATATTGTCAAATATAAAAGCAGCCCTTTATTTAAGAGATTTAGCGTTACCTTTCCTTCTCTGATGGTGAGAGACTGTAGTGTGTAGCTTGCTTTTGGAGCCCTGGAGAGGAAGACCAGCCTGAGCAGTGATCAGCACCTCAAAGAGCCTTTATTGTTCTTTATGTAATTGTTGCAGGTGTGAGAAACCCCTGTATTATTGTCGTTGTTGCTTGTAGGGTGTTAGAACGATAATGCCGAGTTATAATATGGAGATTTCAAAGTCTCATGGTACTAAAACAAAAGTACAATATGCAATCTGATTGTGTTTAAACCCTAAAATCAAAGATTCCTACTATAGTACTGCTAAAATATACCATACTGATTACTATTGTAAAGTTTTTCTTATGTACACCCGTTCATTTGACAGAACAAATATGCTGCTTGTGACTTGGCAACTGGTTTTGATAATGGCTGGAGCTCCATTAGTTTTAACGCCATATCTGTATATGTTGCCACAGTTGAATATATGTCCAAACAGTATAGTTTTTGATTATTAGTTTAAACCAAAAATTTAAACTGATAATTTGATTGTGAAGCCTTGGAGAGGAAGACCACCCTCAGCAGTGGTGGTCTGCAAATCGCAAATATTTTGCGGTTTGCGAAACATTAAGACAATTCCACCTATTCTGGCTCCATCCTGGTGCTTCATTACCAGAACTTAAAACCCTTGGATGAAGTTTTGCTGTTTTGAAACCTTGATTTTTTATTTCTTTATTTTTTTTTAACCCGGCATTCAAATGTATGATAACGTTGAGTAAAAATAAATAAATAAATGAAATACATTGGGAAATTTTAAAATGCTAACATTTAAAAGTTTTTCTTGCCTTGTCAAAAGTAAAGGTAGAATAGTTGAATTTTTTCTTTTTTTTTTTTTGAGTATTTGATCCCTAACGCTGGCTCACGTCTCCAATGAGCACAATCAATACGTAGTAGGTGTTTTTTTGTGTTTGTCTTTTATTTCCTGGTGCTCATCACTGCTCCATCGACAACACATCACTAATTGTTATGGGGACGTTGGTCGCTTCTCTCTAGTTGCGCAGGAGCTGCGGAGCGACGCGTCTCGATGCGTTCGCTCATACTATACACTGGACTGGCAGAGCCGTTGTTTGTCATTGACCTCCATTCAGTCAGTCGTATTTGTCCGCTGAAATGAAGTATGCTGTATCCAAACTGTGACTCCATCGATCCTCCTTGGCATTAGCTTTCTCTCTCGCCCTCCCCTTTATCTTGCTCCTGCCTGACCTCATCTGTTTTCTTTGTTTTTGTTTTTTGCCTCTGAATGTATAGACACCGTTGTAAAGTGTAACTCGCTGTCGGCTCACTCTCATCTGCTTTTTTAGGAATTTTTCTGATCATTTCACAAGCAAAAGTCTCAATACATCGACAGCCAGCCGTAGCATCTACACCCATCAGTTTCATTTGGTCGTCGGTTGGTCAGTGAGGATGGCTGCTCTTATAAATATATATAAATTTATATGTATATTATACAATACAATATAATTATTGACTGCTTTGTGAGATGGGAGATCATGGGATTGTGTAAATAAAATGCCCACACTATTTTTACCGGATGCTAAAAGAGCTTTTTGTAAATGTTTTTTTTTGTTTTGTTTTGTTTTGTTTTGTTGTTTTTTTCGTGCTCAGACTCTGCTGTATCATTATTGATATTGTAAATATAGAAGATAGCCCAGTCAGTCATCTGTCCTCATCGGGCAGAGCTATACAAACCAATTAATCCGTCAGTGTTCTCTCTGTTGAAAAGCTTTTGTGTTTGTATTTTACCGTGTACTATCTCTAGCCAAAAACAGAAAAAAAAAACAAAAAAAAACAACAACAAACAAAAGAACTGATCACGTAGGGGTTTGACTCTTGAGATGTATGCCTTGCTGGTTTCAAGCCAACTCGAGTCCGATGAGCTGCGCAAGCACAATCCTGTAAATCTCATCAGTCTCACTCAATGCACTTTTACATTTAGTGGTTGGTTTCTATTTCACTTTCTTTTTTTTTTTTAAACACAGAACCCCGTTTCAGGCATTTCAAGGTTCCTAAGCAACTAAAGGGAGTTATCTTTAGTTAAATACCAGACATTTCACACCTGCATACTGCACAGCTCTCTAAAGCTGTTTGTCTGCACAGATTAAAGCAAGACTATGATCCATTTTTCTTTTTTTTTTTTAAATAATAGCACATGACAGCTACATGTACTGACCAAATTGGCTTAACAAACTTTTGTTTACATGCAGTCTAAGTTTACAACTAACTTTTGTGTCCTAGCAATTTCATTACACCTTTGTGCAGCTAAATGTCCAACTTAATATTTTTGTTTTTTACAAGTAGTGCACATTTAGGTCATTTGAATGTGTACTAGATGTGTTTCTTAACTGTCTCATTAAAAAAAAAAAAAAACTTTTTGTAGCATCTAGTTTAGCCGCAAAGCATTTTAGAGTTGGCTAATTCTAGCAAAACAGAGTTACTGAATTAGGTCAATTCCAGAAAAGCTCTAAACATGGTTAGACTTTTTGTTTTCTTTTGCAAATTAAAACTCGTATTCATTGTAACTTATTGAAATGATAACCCTGAAATGTATTTATCATACAGTTTATAGCCACTGTTTGACTAATCTCCAAACCACCAGCTATTTTGTGATTTGTGAAAGTGGGCCAATTTGACTGTTAATGTTAGCAATTTGACGCTATTTTAGCTACTGCTTAACTAAATGTTGAAATACTAGGTGTTCCAATTTGTCAAAGTTTTCAGGCTTGCCAATCATTTTCCAAATGAACTTGAGATTTGACTTACTTTTAGCATTTTAGCACAATGCTAAATTATGGTTCAGTTTTTAACTATTTGTGAAAGTTGGCAAATGCACTAAACTGTATTCCAAATAAGCTCCAGAGTTTCGGTCAACATTGTAGCCCAATGCTAACTCTTACTTAGATACATATTAGCTAATTAATATGTTCCTAAGAAGTTACCCTTGTGCATCATACATTTTTCAGATTTTATTTCAGTAAAGCTGCTTTTCACAAATTCTGCCATATTTGACTTTTGCTTTCTTCCATAAACATTTTAGTTTTCATGCTTGGCTAACCTTTTATTATTGCCATGGAGCGAGTTGAGTGTCTTGTAGTTACCATTATAAAACCATAATGATAGCTTTACTGTCTTATTTACAATCCAAATGCTAAATAAGCCAAATTTATTATGCCCAGAAGCAGATTATCATAACTCCAGTCATAGTCTTGCTTTAAGATCTCAAAGATTAAAATGCATCCACTAATAGCTATATTTTCCAATCAGTACTTTCACTAACATCAAACAGGCATCAGTGATCACCTTTTGGTTTTCCATTTCATAAATCGGATAAAACAAAAGCTCATTCTTGACATAGTTCGACCAATCAAACAAAGGATTAAATGAAATATAAAGCTATAAGTAAAAGATGTATGTTTTCTATTCTATTGTAGAAAAAATACTTTTGTAATTATGTTGAAAGTATAAAGTATTTGCTGGATTCTGCTTCCTTTGACGACAGTGACAAAACAATAATGTACAGAAGAACTCGTGTTGACAAAACGTGGCTGTGCAATTTATGTACATTTGCAACTAGACCTATTAAAGTTTTATTTAGCTATTTTAAACTCTCCTCTGTGTGCATCTCTGCTGTACAGCCTCGGCGGTGCAGCTCTCTGTGATGTTTTGAACCGTGGAGGCTGAATGGAGTCGGATTTGACGGCCTGTGCGATGCATCACGTGTTCATTAAATACTCAAGGAGACCCAGATTGATTATAGGCATCTAGAGAGAACATATGCTCAGAGTGGGGATCCAAAGGCAAAGCGAAGGACATGATGGAGACATGAATGAGTAGGTTTGAGCAGCGCCTACTTTTCACAGCCAGCATGACCTATATACTGCCTGATTGTTATTCCCCACAGTTGGTTGGGAAAATCAAGACATGTGAGAGTGAAAAGGGCGGGGGGCGCTTTCGAAACCTTTAAAATGACACGACATTACTCAAAAAGAGAGATGGATTATGATCATGTGTCGTGGCAGAAAAGCCGTGGAATGTCTTATTGCTGTAATTGGTGCATGCATATCTTTAACCATATGTGTTTTAAAGTGAAGATCTGACGTTGGTAATTACTCCCTGTGAGTCGGACTTGTTTATTTAGTCAAAACTAAACAGGTTTCCTGCATCCAAGACACATTTAGGCTGCCAGACGTAATAACATAAGCACTACTCTCAAATGTTTCAATAATTAAAAGCATGAAACATTGAGGTGTAGATGTTTGTACTTCTTTTTCCTCCTGGATCCTAAAATATGTTGTTGTTTTTCCCCCCCAAAAAAAGAAGAAACTAAATGATGGTCTAAGCTGGACATGTTTTCTAAGGAATGAAAGGTAGAACATAACTCTTCCTGATGACTGTCACACATTTGTTGGACCACTGAGCGACAACAAACGCGCTGTGATGAATACAGACGTCAGCTGGGACTGCCAGCCTCCACAACAGAAGGTCGAGGAAACACGGGCAGATGGTTGTGCTGTGAAACATATCGAAGGTCTTTAAAACACATAAAAATGAGCCGCCTCTGATTCATCCATCAGCCTCCTTGAGAACGGAGACGTAAATAGCACCGTGGTGCCAACGACAGAGGTGCCGGTACAGAAGCAATATAAAATTGAAGCTGCAAGCAGCATTGACAGAATTCATCATCATGTCAGATGGCACAGGTTTAAAGATAACTGAATCGAAGAGTAAAAGTAAAACATCCCGCAGAAAACAGATGACTTACCGAAATCTGTCTGTGTTGGAAACCTGGTCACACCAACATGGTTTCTGACTCTGGACACAGTTTTATGTTGATTAGGGCAGAGGGGTCAGACAGAGACCATTCCAGTAAAACATGTTCTCAGTTTTTTTATTTATTTATTTTTTTTATAGAATGTGGAACTAAATCATTTTGCAGACTCTAACTCTTCATCTATTTTTCCATCAACTCCGACCAGCTTCACTGTCTCTGCTGAGGAAAAGACTAACCAAAGCATGACGCTTCCACCACCTTGTTTTACAGTGGAGTTCTGAGCAACATCAGCATATTACGCTTCACGTTGGCTTGTGGTCAACAGCAACAGGATTTTCAACAACAGCAGAGTTGCATAATAATTCTCCCACTGGAGCTGTGCATCTCGGCAGCTCCTCCACAGTAAACACACTTGTAATTTCTATCTCACCAAGTTTTTTAAATTCATTTATTTAGTTAGTTTTAGTGTTCTTCTAACTTCAACATTAATTAACTTATGTGATGTTGTGTAAAGCACTTTGACTAAAATCTGGAGTTTGTTGGCTGCAATAAAACAAAAGGTGGGGCAGTCAGAGGTTGTATGGATACATTTGGAAGCACTGCGATTGCCAACCTTCAGTTGCTTGGATATTTCTGAAACAAAACAAATTGGAGACCACAACTTTAGCTCAATCAGAATATTTTATTCACGTTTTCCAGTGTTGCAAGTACATCTTGTTTACAGTTGACACTGTAGGAAACCTTATCCCTCTACTTGTAATTATGCAAGCCCTAGTTTAGTATTCATAGCAAAAAGAAAACAAAAACTTTTAGGTTAATCCACTTTGTGTTTTCACAGCTGCCCACACTGCAGATAGTTAATTCTTCATTTGCATGTGACAAATCCATTCTTAATAATGGTGCAAAAGGTGAGAAAACACACATTGCAATGTTTTGATATAACAGTGACATTTAAACTTGGCATCCATCATGCTTTCCTGTATAACTTTTAGTGTGCAAAAGTTCCCCACGTCTCCTTTAGGAAACTATATGGTGTGTTTTTTTATTTATGTATTTTTTAAGCCATGCAACCACGTTTTGTTTTTGAAATATTCACGCCCTGTGGCAGTTACGTCACTAAAAAGTAATCAACCTAAAAAGTCACTGACGGGGAGGTCTGAGGCTGCCAACAGGAATAGCTTGCTGAACCGAAAGAGGGTAAGTGAAAGCTTATTCACTTAACTCGTCACTAATGGGCTCATGGAGGACTAACAGCTGAGCCACTTGCTGTCAGGAGGTTTTTTTTCACTACTGAGCTGAACACAAATAAATACAGTACCAAGCATAAACACACACTCGTACGCAACGTGTGTGCACGCAGAAGCCCGGGGCGGCGTTTCGTCAACCTCTGTGCAAATATTATACATATACAAAGCTGCTGTGCAAATTCATTAATGCAGGTGCATCTCAGTAACTCAGTGTATGACTGAAGATACTTTGAGTATTTCAATTCAAACTGTTGAACTTGATTATTTTGATCATCCTGGCTTACAGCTAATGAAAACCCAAATTCAGAGTATGACATATGACCAAGTAAAAAAAACCCCAAAAATATCCAGACTCAAAAGAAGACCTGGGTGACTGATGTAATAACCTTAGCTTAACTCAGCAAGCTTTTTTTGTTTTTTTTTTTCTTTGAAGACAAAGTGAGCCATGACACTCCTGTTGCTGAAAATACATTAAAACTTAAAATATCTATTATGTATGCCACTCATGTAACACGGCAAAATTCCTAGACTCATTTTGTGTTTCAAATGATTCATAAATCCCAATCAATGTTTGGAAATATAAATAGCACATTTTGACTTTAGTTTTTTCATTTTTGTGACCCACAACACTGTGAACTTGGTGATTTTTGGACACTTCTGACAAAAAGGGTCCAGCTCTATCCAAGTATATTAACATGGAAAGTTCAGTGGGAGGAAAAAGTGCTAAAGCAATAAGGAGGTTGTTAAGCAAAGCCCAGAGAGGTTTGGGGTTACTAATGCAAACAGAATCATGAAATAAATTAACACATGTGATGGATGTACAGTAAATGTTTACCTGACATAGCTAGTACAATACAATTTATTTTCTGACAAACTTCATTTTGGGTTATTGTTAGGTACATGATATTTCAGAATTTAAACGAATTACTGGAAAACAAAACAAAAAAAATTAATTTTAAATGATATCATGATGGAAGTGTATAATACACAGGATGCTCCCTTACAACCACTTATGTGTGATCTGTGTGAATTAACATACATAAAAGTATCTACTATGATCCCTGGGGGAAAAAAACCATAAAGAAAAAAAAAAAAAACTATAAAGGTTTTATTGGAGACATAGTCAGACAGAAGAGAAGGGAAGCAAGTAGCTGCCCTTTAGAATCAAACGGTACATAAAAAGCAGCCACATCCTCCTCCTGACAGGACCACACTGTTCACGTGTGATCCCACAAGGAGGAGAGGGAGTAATCCACCAGCTTCCATTACCATTTCAGTTTCCCCCCTGAGGCATCTTCCTCCTCAAAAGAAAAAAAAAAAAAGCAATCAGGCAGAGAGCAGGGCGCCGACAAGGCAGCCAGCAGGGGTCGACTAGCCCTTCTCAGACTCTGCGGAGGAGAAATGGACCCTTAATCTCCCCCCTCCTCGCTCGCTCCTGTGGAGAGGGTTCAAGGCGATGCAGCGGGTTTTGAGCAGCCGGTTCCCTCTCATCAGTTCTCCACGTTTGCCCTGAGCGTGCGAGGCTTTGGTCTTTGATGTGGCCGGCAGTCCTGGCTCGTGGCCCTCCGCTGCGCGGCCGGAGAGGAGGGCCGAGGGTGGGGGATGTAGAGTGCCTGGGGCCTGCTGCCCCGCTGCAGCGCCCTGCTGCAGCTCAGAGAGCGTCTGTCCTCGACGCCGGACTGCGGCCCCAGGTGAGACTCGCACAGGTCCAGCAGGGACACTACCTGCTCCCTAAGCGTGAGGGATTTGAACCGCCGCCCCGCCAGGTTGAAAAAGGCTTCCACGAACGCCTGCAGTCCCATTCCTATATGGGAAAAGGAAATGCCGATTTACAAGTGCGGCGACTTTTTGAGGCATGCGCACACGGCACCTTAAACCGTTAGGTACCCACTGTAAAGATGAAAAATTAGTAAAATTGTTTAACAGGTATAAAACCCCATGGCTAAGATTTTTTGTTTCCATGGGATGCACAATTTATCGGCATCAACGTCTGTATCGACATTGTGTGCGCTTGATTATTTGAATAAGAGGATTCATCTGCAAAAGGTAATAATTGAAACATCAACATGTGAAAAGCTCAGCCTTTTCTGTTTGACTTAACATCAAGACAGTGTAAAGCTGATCTGTTGATTATGTTTTTAATAATTAGATAGCAAAAAGATTAAATAAAATGCATCCAGGTGAAGATGATTCCTAATTGTTTGTCCGTTTCTTTGTAATTTGACTTTTTCCTTTTTCTAATTTTGGACCGAATGAAATGTTCATAACTTGGTGTGACATGAATGGAATGAGCTTTACATCCTAAAAAAAAAAAAAAAAAAAAAGAGTCCAAGCAATTTTCACCTTTCAGCTTAGAAAAGCTGAAGTTAACCTTTCAGCTGACAGTTTATTTAGAGCTGTGGCTGAAAGGAGGAGGAAAGTTTCATTAGTAGTGTACAAGTCCAGTTTCAGAAAAAATTACATCATAAATTTCTGCTAAAAGTGGGTTTTTCTCTTTTAGTAACAAGTGGCCTTCCTATCAGACTTTCTGTGGAACTTCTTACTCAGTTTAAGAGGTCAGTGTGACTCGAACTCGAGAACAACAGATAAGAAAACAATGAAACTGAGCAGGATTCATATCTTACTAGGTCTGTTGCACTATTTTCAACTCGTAACGTCGTTTTTAAAAAAATAATTTTCGCTTATCGGTTCCCCATAAATACACCTGACTAAGCGCCCCCAGACGCAACAGCTGACCGATTCCAGTCCTACTGACAGCTAACCTGAAACTCAGCCTACACTCTCCTCAGTGGACCTCTTCATGCTGGTCCATGCGATTTCCAACAATCTACTCTATGTCAGAGACATTGCGAGATGGGACGCCTGAATAATTCATGTCGGGACGGTTTCTGCGTTGTCATGCTGTGATCTCGCCTCATTTCAATTACGGGAGAAGGGTGTCTGATAGAGAACGACAAGCAATTATGGGGGGAGCACATTATTTGCACAGAGTCTCAAGGATGTTCAGTTCTCTGTTCTCCAAGAACACCGTGTGAGGACTTGCTTTATTTTTCTGTTTTTCTTCTTTTTTTTTTTTGAGTATCCTTTACCTGCTTCTCGGGAGTCGGCCAGGGCAAAGGACCATCGACGTGTGATGTCAATATACAAGATGTCCACTGAGGCCATGGTGAAGTTGCTGTTGCTCAGTTTACAAGTCCTAGAAACATAAAGGAATATTAACGTCTAAATCAAATACAACCTAATAAGAGAACCAAAAATGTTTTAATGTTCGCTTCAGACGCGATTACATTTTTTGGTTACTCAGGTGTACGTCTGATCAAGAGTTTTGTGAACGATATATGATCTCCATTTTTCGTAAAACTTAGAGCAGCGGCAATTGATCGTAGCCTAATCGGATGTCAGAAGGAGCTAATATTTCATAGCAGCAAAAGCAATGAGCTGGGCAGACAAAATGTTTACGTAGTAGACATTTTAAACTTGCTTTAGTGTCTTATATTATTGATTAGCTCCGACAGCAGCCCTGAGACATAAGTGTGTATTATAGGTGCACCGATTGCAGTTTTCTGGCCGATCACCGATCTTTCAAAAGCCTGACCTGCCAAGTAGTAGGTCGGTCAGTTAGCTCTGTCTTACAGTAAAGCAAAACTGTAAGACAGTTGCTTCCTCTGAATTCATTTTATGTGATCAGAACAAGATCGTATGATTAAGTTTTCAACAGGCTGGTCACCACGTCAGAGCCTATCAAGCCAAACAGACGATTCTGGCTGATTTGTCGGTGTATTTCTATTCTAAATCAAATGCTGAAAACTGCACATCTTGCAGGGATCTGTATGAATATTTCACTAACCCAGAGCTGTCAGGTCAGGAAGTCGGTGTTGTATTCTAGAGACAGAGAGACAAAGCAAGCAAGGTTTACCTAAAGGGTGAGGACCACTGCAGCATCAGGCGATGATGCTGCTTCCAAAGTGTACAATATTAGCCCAACACAGTGCAGCTACTTGTTAGCCCAAATGGTGACAGGAACAGTGAAAATGGCTGCTGCATCTTTTTATAAGCTTTTCTACAAAACAAGATGAAATATTCACCTTTTTATATAAGATGATAATGACACTGTGTTTGTGTGTGTGGTGTTTTGTGACAGAATCCCAACAACACAGCAAGAACTGATTATGTGTTCATGCAGCAGTAGACAGAAAAAAAGAATAAGAATTTAGTGTAAAGCAGTACGAAAGCACAGAAAAGGACGATGCTCGTTTTTGAGAAAGTTATTACTTTTAATGAGAAATCTGACATTCTGCAGACCTGTAATTGTTCAGAGAGAAAGTGATGTATTTATTTCTTTCTTTTTGTTGCAGGGTCTTCATTACTTAAACTCTATATGCTTAGTTTCTTTCTTCTTTTTTATTACATGCACCAATGATAATATGCAAATGGGGTTTCCAACAAGCTACAAATGCCTTTTTTTTCCCAGATTCAAATTCCCAGAGCTCTAAGCTTATTTTAGTTCAAATTTTATGTTCATAGATGAAAATATTCCATAATTTTTTTGATAGATGTTGGTGGAAGGATCAGACTTTAAATATGGAAGGACGGATGGATGAACAGACGGATGGATGATGGGCATAGAAATGGATGACTGGATAAAGTCTGCAGATGAAATTATTTTCCAAACTCCATTTCGCACTTTAAGTCTATTCCAGACGGCATAGTAATCCTGTAAATTGAATTCAAAAACTGCATTTGCTCTAATGCCGTAAAATATGATGCATTATTTCCTGAAGGGATTTCTGCATGAAAAACAAGCTTTACCTTCAACAGAGATTAAATTATTACATCATGCACACGGTACCCATTTTTCACGCTCTCATAAACATAAACATATGGAGTCTTTGAAAGTACTTATAGTGTAATTAAAGTTAGACTACTTCCTGAACTCTCAGCAAGAATGTTCTGTCCTAAAAAAGAGGCTAAAATAAGGTGAGACAGTGTTTTGCTGCAGAATCTAAATTAATAAAAGCCTCTCTGGTCTCAGCGCTTTGAAAAGAAATCTCTAAACCACAGCTCAGATGAGACTCTCACTTCTTCAGATGGAATCTCTGAATGCACCTGTTTCTTTTACTTTTACGTTACGTTATGCCGACTCTGAGCTGCTTACATATGCTAAATCTGGGTAAGCAGAGAGGATTTTTATCCAGGGAATCAGCATCCGACTTAATCCTTTTTGTCTTACTGCAATAAAACAAAGGCTTGCTTTACTGTAGATTTGCAGCTTACATGGCAGAGTGATTTTAGGATCAAACAAAACTTGTGCACCTGATGAAGGTTCGGAAGGCAGTGGGGCCGAGGCGCATGTTGCCCTTCACCCCAAGGAAGCGTATGAAGAGAGCGGCGATTCGCTCCACCAGCCGCAGGTGGCTGAACTGTTTGGTGTACTTCGGGTAGACCTGCTTCAAGCACAGCGGAGGCAGATTACCCGCGTTATCTGGACTCCTGTCTAGAGAGTCGCCATCCGCAGGGATCACCTCCAGAGGATCAGACCCGCCTCCTCTTGGTTGAGGAGTCCTGATGACAACAAAAACAAACGGGGTGGGGGAAGGTTTATTATTCATTTCATGCAATGTTAATTAAGCTTGACTGTACAGACATGTGTTCTAATAACAGGGCATGTATTTCTACTCAATAGTCTGTGTGAGTCATTCAAAAAAAAAAGTCTACGATAGGTGATGGTCAGTCAGAACGCAAAGATGGATTTGAATTGCTTTCTTTTAAGCACTCCACACCAAAGTAATGCAAGAATGGCAGGACACACACACATGCACACTGTCTGAGCACTGCACACAGAGCAGATCATGAAAGAAAGTCATTAAACTGCCGGTCATTTTTACACACCGGACCATTTAAGTTGTAGCTGCGCTCCGCGCAGAGGTCACGGCTGATATATAATCACTGACTCTACAACAATAGCGGGTATCAGGAGTCAAGTTTAATCAGGGACTTTATGTCTTGAATGGAAATCTGAGGAGCTGAACAGAATCGAACAAGGACATCTGTACTTGTAACTTTCATGCTGGTCGTTTGACCTTTGTTGTCAAGCAAAACAAGAAACAGGATTTACATAACCACAAAATCAAAAGATAAGCAGTTGTCTCACTGCTCTAACTTCTTTATGTTGTCTCTTTTTTCCCTCATTAAATTGAACCTAACTTCTTTATTTTAAGTATATCCTCCAATGTGTCTTTCCTTTTCCCAAGCTCCTACACTAAGCACAAATCTTTCGCTTATCTTCACTTCTTATGAGACATGTGGGCTGAAACCCAGTCTAACTGGCTTCCCGTCAGCCCCGTCCCATCCCAGACTGCTGGTGCCTTCGCAAAATCTAAGTATACCGTTCTTCTTGATACCGGCAAGGGTGACACTAATGTAGCATTTCTTAAAGTTTGATAGAATCAATTGTCCCTGTGGGACAGAGGGAAGCCACCCACACATAGATTTAGCAGGACAGACTCTGCTAAAAACAGGCAAACCTTGCACAGACACAAACAGACTGGGAGAATTTCCACATCCTCAGGTGAAGAGAAAGAAGAAAACAATGAGGGAAGGAAAGCTAGAAACAGGCAAAGACAGTTATTAAGTTTTGGATGTTAAACTAGTTCTAACATGACAACAAGCTACAAGCTTTGTAACAAAATATAACCAAGGGTCAGGATGGCCCAGTCAAATCAAAGCTTAAATTCAAATAAGCATCTGTAGCAAGGCACATAAGATCCCCAAAACATTCAATTTTATGTATTTGGTTTTAACCTAGGCCTAAGTACAAAGTGTATGAATACCTTCGCAAAGACACTAAACAAAAAAAAAAAGAAAAAATAATTTTATAACTATGCTCTGTATTTAGTTTGCCTCATTTCCCCATTTCCCCTTATGCAGATAATACCTTTATAATGGGATATTTTAGCGCCTCATGACTGTGAATATAAGCTTTTCACCTCACATGATGGCTCATAAATCACTTCCAAAGACAGAATACTCAGGATTAATGAGCTGGGTGCATACACTACATATCTGAGAGTCACTGATACTGTCACAAACTCACGTATATAAATCCTCGTTTATCTCTTCTCCCTTCAAAGTGGCACTTCTTTCCCTGCCCCCTTTTGTGCCATCATTTGGGTTTGAATTTTTTTTTTTATAAAACAGAGTGTGTTATCATCCCACCAACTTTTGTGCATCCTGTGTCAGGCTTTCCCTTCATCTTGAGAAGTAAAATTCCAACATGCGTCAACTTTGGATAAACCTCTTCCTGAATGACGGAGTTTCACCCATTCCACTGACGCTGCCTGTGTGTCATTCCTCAATGTAAGTGTATGTGGGGTTTTTTGACATCACATCTATAGGCAAACTTGAAATACCCAATTAGTCAGAAGTGGTTTCAAAATATTTCAAGTCTGTCTCTTTTCTCTCTTTTTACATAAATCGAAATTCTTAATAAAGTCATTCAGTTATCTTTCTTCTAATCATAAAAAAGGTTTGCTCCTCTCAGTCAGAGAAATCTAATTTCACATTGCACTGTCACTTTTTATCAGACTGCTCAACGAGTTTCTCATCTAAAAGTCAATTTCTCCTCTCACTTCTAAATTGTTAATTTATATCATTGTTCTAATATTGAAATCATATCACCCTTTCCTCTCAACTCCTCCACTCCATTAGATTCAACTTTTTTTATCCAATATCATTTAAAGTTGCTTGCCTAAAAATTCTGATCTGAATCTTTGGTCAGTGATGTTTTTTTTTGTGACCCAATAGGGAATTAAAAAAACATGAGCATTAACTTGATCGATATAACATTCATGAACTGATTTTGCAGAAATACTTTTTATCAAAAGTAATTTCACGCATACAGGAGGGAAAACCAAAAATGTGGTAAAGTCTTCAGGAATAAAAAAATAAACAAAAACAAAAAAAAACTTGGGCAAAGATTAGTATTTCACCTCCTGATCTGGGATATGACCCAATCAAGGAAAAAATCTGCCAAATGATGCATTTCTACAAAATATTATCCAGCCACTTTCCTGAGGTGGGCTTGTTTAAAAGACTCTTTGTCGACGCAAAATTGTTTAGACCGATTCAACCTCATCTTGAGTTCAGCAACAGGGCAGAAAAACAAACACGAGGCTTGTTTTTCCATAGCTTGCATCATCTCTGTGTGTTTGCTTCTGCATTAAGGCAATTGGTTTACATCTAAACTAATTATGGGTTAGTATCACGGTATATTAAACAAACAAAAACATGTATAAATTTGTCATCATGCCATCTTTAAATTCAAGATGGAGTTTTCTCAAGCCACATAAAAGAAAGAGTAAAGCAGCACAACTGCTTTAACCAATTTACATTGTATATATATTTCAAGACAAATATATTTGCTTGAAAATACTTCTGTTTGCAAAACGGCAACTTCTAATACTTCTTCTGTTTTTCTATTAAAAGCAGAACAGCAAAATATTGTGTGCCATAATTATGTTTAATACTATTAAAATCTGTAAGTTTATTCTCGAGTCTTTGCTAGAAAGAAACCATATCAACAATATTTGTTACAATTACCATTAAAACTAACAGTTTGAAGCTACATTTTGTATCTCACTTTGGCAGCAGTTCCAATCTTTGCTGCTTCTCTGGTGTTTCTAAAGTAGTTAGATCATGTGTGTATACGTCTGGATCATGCCAATTCAAAGCACATGCAGGAAGGAACCTATTTAAATATTATTCATAAATATTACAGTCATTGTGATAAGTAGTTATTTTCCCAGATGTATCTTTGTTTTCCATGAACACGTTTGACATTTCCTACCATCCCATTCTCCTTTGAACACAAGATCCCTTTGTGTTTTTAGTGTTAATTTTATTTGACAACAAGAATCATTACAAATTAGAAATATCAACTTAAACTTTGTAAGATTATCATGGCTTCCCTTTTCTTTAAAAACTAGATGTTCAGTCTAAAGATTGAAAAGGTAAAGCTTTAAATATTCTCCCTGTGAGGCCAGAAGACCGAGCAACCTATAACATATAATGGATGTTAGATCAAGCGATTAAACAAGTGGAGACAGAAATTAATTCAACAGGAAGTTAAGGGAGCATTATCCACAAGTACACAGTGCTCTTGGATGCAAAGAAGACATCAAATATTGAGGCTAATTTAAAGATAAGGTGGTTAAAATTTAAAGTAGAAGGAACAGAACAACAGAAAAGGATGAGGAAATAAGTCGAAAGCAGACAGAAAGAATAAATCTGCTTTTCATATTGAAATATGCAATGATGGGGGGGAAGAAAAGGACACTCCCTAATTGAGAAGGAGATCTATTTCCAAGCACCACACAGGGCCAGTAAAGCAGAGAGATTGAGCCACTACATTGGCACAGTGATATGTGAGTTTCCTCCATGCCTCAGTTGATTTAATTTTTTCCATTTAACAAGCTTAGAGAGAGCCGCTGAGTGGTGCGGGGCCCGGCTCGGAGGAGCGGGTGGGCAGAGTGAGATATCGTGTTCTTAAAGCGGACATGCTGACAGAGAGTGGTGGTGGGGAGGAGTGGGAGGAGCTAAGACAACATCCAACTTCAAACAGGGTGTTTATGCTGAGGTGAGCGCAGCTTACGCTGTCAATTTCTTGTTGAAGGGATCCATGAGGCGCAGCGTGTCTCTGATCACCCCCACTTTCACCTGCTCGTCTACGGGACTGGGAACGTACTCGAAAACTCCTGGAGCCACCTGAGACAGACATGCACTCAATACAAGAGGTGGTGGTAGTGGTGGTGATGGTAGAGTGATGACGCTGATGGGAACCAGTGTCTTACTTCCTGCTCATGTTCTATTCTCATGCTGGGGTTGGAGTTGACCTCTAATAACACCGGCTTCAGGTTCTTCATCAGCAGGATGTCGAAGCCCAGTATCTGACACACAAACAGACCACAACAATTAGAAACACACATTCAAGAAGACAACTTTCTACATCCCAAAAGGGCTGTTTTTCTGTAAACACATTTGCAAAAACTTCAATTTGATTAGTTTTTCTTTTTTTATGATATTTTTAACAACCTGATCCACTAGGAGTAAAAACAGGTTATGTGGATGACTTTAGTGAAACTGAAAAAGATGTTAATAACACACTGGCCTTCAGCTCTGTTGTCACACCCACCTGAAAACAAGTAGGTCCTGGCTTAGCAGGCGGTATATCAGCTTGGTAGTGGACTTTAAGGTCCGGCAGCACAGCGATGACAGACTTGATGACAAGGGCGATGATGTCCGACCAGACCCGTTTGATGTCAACGCCCTTGGCTGCCAGCCTGTAGAGCACACTGGAGAGCGTCCGCTTGCTGCCCGTGTTCTGGCTGTCTGAGTGGACATAGTTGCCGCTTTGAACGTTGAGCGAGTAGTTGGTCAGGTGCATGAAGACGCGGCTCAGATTCTTCTGGCTTGGCTCCTGCAAAGAAACAATAAAAAACAAAAACGTCTATATAATCGACCTCAAAGCCATTGGGATTATCAGTGGGGTAAGCGCTACCTGGTAGGGTTCAGTGCAGAAGCGCGTCAGACCTTCTTTCGCGATGTAGATCTCCAGTGGCTGCATGGACTTTATCAGCACGTAGAGGCGGATGTCGAATTTGAGCTTGTCGATGAGCAGTGGCTTGTGGATATATTCTTGAACCACCGCTTGTTTGGCCTGTGCGCCCACCACCAGCTTCAGATCGCCGGGGTCACGGATCAGGTAGATACCATCCCCCTGGGAACCCCCGTCGGGCTTCACGATGAAAGTCGGGCTCTCCGTGGCGTCGCTCTCCTTCACCATACGAATCTGCAGCAGAGGAGCGAGGGGGGCAGAAACGACCGTATCCGTTCACAAAGGATATGGTTCAAGGAAAACACACGCTACTTTATCCAGTAGACCAACCTAAACCAGGATGTTGTAATTAAATCTTAGTGTAATCTCATTCCTCACTGGACTAATAATAGACAAGAGTCAGAGAGGCTTGATCTGCACCAAAATCGTCCAGAGGTTTCTCTGAATTAACATGCAAGTCCAGAAAAGTCAACAGCATTTTTTCAAAGGGTTAATTATCCCAGGATTTGTTATGTAATCCTACGCTGCTGCAGTAGAGATGCACGGTAATAGATGTAAATAGGTTTCTGGATCTCTCTGAAGGGAGGCAGATTTAAAAGATGAGAAGTGATTTTGAATGTACACATTGATGCTGTGGCGCCCCCTGCTGTACAAAACATGTTATTTTCTTCCTTTCTACCAAATATTTACTTACAAATGGCTAGGAAAATGAAGCTTTTACATTATTACAAATGATTATAAATCTGAAAACAATTAGAAAAAGAACATCCTAAAGACAAACAAGTAATTCTAAATATGAATATCACCCTGTGCCTCAGTGTCTGTAGCTGGATTTTATAGCATAGGATATGAGTAGTGTGCGATTTTAATTTGGCATTTAGTTAGACAGACTGTAAATAAAGGTCGGATAAGTGTTGGCAATGTAGAGAGATGACCTGCATCATGTCTATTGCAGGGTAGAGTGATGAGAGAAGGAAACAACAGTGGTTCTTAGTAGAGTACACACTCTGTTGAAATGCCAGATCATAAAGGGAGATCATAAATCACTTCACAGCTATTTTCACATATTGAGACATTTTCTTTATTCACAAGAAGTAAAATGAAAACAAAGAAGCAAAGCTAAAAGTGAGCAATAACCTATCTGCAGAGGTGGGAACATTTTAAACTCTGCTGAAGCAGCTATTGATTCAGCATTTAGTCTTCTCCGGAAGAAGTTGATGATCGTCATCATCTTGACTTGGCATATCAGAACTTTCATTTTCAACTCACAAAAACTTCATTTGTTTGATTTGGATTTTTCTGCTTGGATTCCCTGTGACGCCAAAAAATAAAATCTCAATTTATTTTCTGTTTTTAACAGATAACTTTTAATACCACAACTGACTTGGAACTGAGTATCAGCTAAAAAATGTAACACTATCGGATTGTTCTTTGTTTTTCTTTTTCAGTTAATCAGATACGGATAACTACGTATGACCAGTATGCACACCTTTGGGAGGTGCTGCAACAGTACCTCAGTGGAAAACTGCTGGTACTCTTCTGGCAGGATCCAGGAGCGCGGATAAAAGTCATACTCTTCTGGGAAAAGCTCTTGCATAGTCCGAACCGCTCTACTCAGGTTGATCTTCCTCAGCATCTCCACCATCCCTGCAAAAACACCACTTACAGACAATCCTGCGTGTGCTCCAGGGAAACAGGAATACCTGTTTTTATTGTTAATCACCAATAAAAAAACAAAAACTTGATATTCTAAATAAATTTGTGAGCTGTACGGACTAAACTAAGCACAAGCTTACAGTGGCCCGGATGTATCACTGAGATGCAAACTCCGCCCCCCCAAGAAAACAGCAAAAACCACTACAGAAGACATAAAAAAAACTTCCATTATGGCTTCTGGTCATTGTATTTATTGTTGCCTTTGTGGCTTTTTGTTGTTGCTGCTTTTGCATTTCATTGCCTTTTCTGGTTCAGCAAACTACAGGCGTATTGATATGATTTACCTAAATATTCAGATTTACACATTATGTAGGGTTTGATTTCTTGTATATCCATGTTTTTAGATTTTTGTGATGAGGCAATACTTGGTTGTGCTTAAATTACAAAGTTTTAAAATATTGGTCTAATTAATGTGCTTACCAAGACTAATATCCAACTAGATGAAACAAAGTAGATTACACGAAGCCAGTTGAAACTATAAACACTCATAACTAGTTACAGGTTGTTTGTAGATTAGAAAAGCACATATACTTAAATACCTGGAAACTTGTTGACTTGTCCTGACACAATGTTTTCATTGTCGTGGAAGGAAACACCATGCCAGTAGATATCACATGCTGCACGTCTTCCCGTGTGAAACTGAGGAGAGGAAAAGCAAAGCGGTGAGAAGGACTTATTACATTTATAGGCTGAAAGGAAAGCTGATTAAAAAAAAAAGTCATCAGTTGGAAAATGTGAACTGTCTGAAAATATGAGCAGGACCACAGAATGAAGATGATGGTCTGAATAATTTACCGCACACTTTTCAAATGCGACACAACGCTGCTTAAGACAAGCAGCATGTTTTGTTTTGTTGTTTTTCTTTTCCCCAGAGTCCACTTTGGTTTCCAATCTCCATTGGAGTAATGGGTCAAAACTCTGCTGAGTTTGAAAAGACAAACATGAGGGATTCTCTCTTTAACTCTCCCGTGCCACTCCAAGTCTACAACTCAAAGGTGTCAAAAGGCTGACAGTCCAATATCGGTATCTTAAATAGTTTAACCTCCTCCCCTCCTGTAGTTGGCTAAAGGATAAGATCAGGAATTTCATCTTGTTAATGTGTTAGCGTGACACTGTGTAAAAGGGAAACCCTGGCTGACTGCAAAGACCTACTATAAATACAGCTACACGCAACTGTGTGAAGGGGACAAGGGAGGGGAGATTATTTTGAGTAGTTTCTGGGATTACATCCAGACACAGCTGTCTTTGAAAAGTTGCTTCATTGCTAAAATCTTTAGGTGTCCTTTGGTAAACAATTCAGTTTTCTCTTGCCATACCAGAAATAGCCCTTTTTTGAAATTCAGGTTATTTTGCAACAAGATTTCAAGAAGTTATGACAATTTTAAAACAAATGTGCTCAAAATGCCTGATTAGTTTCTAACACCCTCTCAAAATATGACAACAGATGAAAGTATGAAGCATTTTCGTGACTTTTCGCTTGGACCATCAGGTGGCTGTTATCTCTACCTCGGAGAGGACACACTTTATTGGATTAAGGGAGCTTAAGGCTAATGATTTCTTTCTGTGGCAGAGAAAGCCATAAGTGGAAAGTCAGCTAGCAGATGCAGAGTCAGTTGTTTCAATTCTCTAACTTACACTTTTGCATTCAGTTGTGTTGACTTCATTGTGAATATTTTACCACCGTCTGAAGAGAACTCGTCCATTTCAACTTCATAAATGGGCCAACACAGCCGAGCTGCTAAAGTTTCGGCCCCTTCAATGTATGATGACAAAGGCTTTCACAGTGACGGCAGCTCCAATGGAGCTGTTGACTCTGCTGGGGGGGTGCTTTGTGCTAACTTAGTGTCGCCATATGTCCATCGTTATGGACACCAGTAGCAAGGTTCAAGTGTCACAGTTTGGTTACTGGTGATAAGTGCACCCTGTGCTTCCCTGTCTCATCGAGGCGACATTCTTTCCATGCATAATGGAGGCAGTGTTCATAGCAGCTTTGAGTTGGCACTTTAAGAAAAATAAACACTCGAAACAACTCGGGACAAACAGAAATGAGTAAAAAAAAAAAAAAGAAAAAGTGACCTCAGAAAGTTTTTTGTGTCCCATTTTGTGCTCTTTAGGTTTCCATACTGTAACACAGGTGAAAGAAAATCTCCATCGTTACATCCGAGTCGATGATCTAATATTAATGACTTAAAGCATGGAAATTACAGTCACTGCTAGAGCTGCAACTTGATATTTAATTGGTAAATTGTTATTTTTATACCCATGTTTTTAGATTTTTGTACATGGTCGTGCTTAAATTCTGAAGTGTTGAAATATTGCGACAATATTTCATGCAGTATTGTGTCTTTGCGACACCAACTTTGTGGCAAAAGCAAAGTTGGTGGATTAGCAGTGCTGTTCTTTTTAAAGAAAAATAAATAAATAAATACTGCAGTAAAATAGATATTTTTATGCCAAATTATTTATCTACAACACTTCATCTTGAGTCGATGACTTCAAGTAAGAACATTATAGTGAAGACTGGAGATGAAACTACAGAATATTTATCTCCTAAACTGTTTTTATTTTATATCCATATAGTCAGATTCACATGACAGAACAGTAAGTTGTGTATAAATGGGACTGGTTTTCATCTAAAAGTCACATTGTTCATGTGTAGCCAGCCAAATGAACCCAAATACCCCTAAATAAAATAATATGGAAAGCGACTAATTGCTGTCAAAAATTTCCAATATGCCACTTTTATAAATTTTGGCGTAATCCCAGGTGTTCTGTGAAGAACTCAGAGATTTGATGCAGATGACTAGAGAACAAACAGCATCAAAAAAACCAAAGAGCACAGTGGAAGAGTCAGACGTAAAATTATGCAGCACACCTTTAAAAATAGCATTAAAATACAACCATCAAATGTTCAAGGAAACTGTCTGGTTGAAAATGACAAAAGAAGCCCTGTTCTTGAAGCCATGTAGAGGAAGCAGTAAACATGTTGAGAATGTGATCTGGTTCAGGCAGACAAGCAAAAAAACTAACACTGCACAACAAAATGAGCACAACTCCTATGTTAAAACAAGGTGGTAGCAACATTTTGCTGTGGAGTTTATTTTCTTCAGCAGCAACAAGACAGACTGTTGTCAGAGATGATGGAGAGGAGGATGGCTGTCATTGCAAAGCAATGAAGGAAGAAAACTTGTTGGAACTTTAAAAAATTAAGAACAAATTAAAGCCGTAACCAGTGCTACAATGTAATGGATCATGGGATTGTCAATATGGCCCAGTCAAAGTCCCAGACCTATATCTAACAGAGCATATGAGGGGACACTTAATATTCACAGGCACACCACAATTTGTTTGTGTTTTAGCCAATAAAGTGCACCATTTATATTAAATTAAAAAGCACACGCCACACTTTCCAGATTTTTCTTGTAAAATGCAAAAAATAACATAATAAATAAGCAAAAACCATGCATTAGTATCATGCCAATTCACAGGTATGAAATACTTTCTGCAGGTCTGTCTCAATAACATGAAATTGAAAAGGTTTAAATAAAGACAATTCAAATATGAAGAACTGCAAAAAAAGACACATCCCGTTCCCCCCCTAAAAGAAAAAAACAATTAGCCCATCATTTTTGTTCTTTAATACAATAAGCCAATGACATGACTCCCTTTGAAGCTTCACTCAGTGAGGAAAAACATGAATAAAAGTGTCTTATGAAGACAAACACCTAAGCTTCTTGTAATCCAACAGAGACGAGAAGCTGCTGACACAGTTCTCCCCAGGATCAAATCATCCTCAGCTTCTTCCCTAAGCCATTTATTCACAAGTTTCTGCTGGGACAAAACACAACAATAACAACAACAACAAAAGAAATAGTTTCAAATAGCGCACCTCTTTCCACTGCAGCTCCTTGATGCTCAGCTTCAGGGCTTCCAGGGAGGTTTTGGCTTTCGATGTGTCCACCGTCACAGGCCTCCTCTTTCTGGGAAGCTTGAAATCATCCTCGCAGCGTGGTTCCTGCGTGTTGCTGGATTCGTGGACGCCGACGTAATTCCCGTTGCTCTCTGCTGACTTGCCTTGCAGGATCTTCCCCGTCCCCTTGATGTGGAGCGTTTGATCACACAGAGGACTGTTGAAGTTTTTAACAGCGTGAGCTGGAAATCCCTGCAAGGGTTTCCCACAAGGATTCTTGCTGCTTCTTTTCCCCTTCTGCTTGCAAATATCGGCGGACAGTGCATCCGTCCCAGGGACGGCGGTGATGCAGCCGGTGGGGTCTGGTGAGGCGGAGGGAGAAGACAGGGGCATCTCTTCGTCGGGATCCACGTCCTCCTTCCCTGCATCCTCGCCCAGTGATTTCATCCGCCCGAGCTGAACCCTGACATCTCCATAATGATCACCCATTATGCGAAACGCGATAACTCACGCCGCAGCAGTTCCGTGGAGTGCAGTAATCCGAAGCCGGGGAGCCGATCAGAAACAATGTGGCCCGCATTGCTATCTTGACTGACCACAAAAATAAATAAATAAATAAATAAACACTATCAATTTTCGTTACCTACATCCGTGGGAAAAGCAGCAACGCGAGTTAGCGGGGATCATCTGTGGGTCACCATATATTTATGAGCGACGAAGAAAGGCATGTCTCTCTGCAGAGCTAATTCTGACCATATGAGCGCAGCAAAGCGACAGGCGGCGGCGGCGGTCGGCACTTGTAGCCAGCACTGCTAGCTGCTGGACGAGAGCCGACTATAACGTTAGCTTATTAAACTTCATTTAGCTGACAGCGTTTCTAAGCCGCAGGCGAAGCTACCCGACTCCACTAAAGACAAACTTCCGCTGTGAAGCTCCCTCAACCAGCAAGTGTCACAATAATTTAACAGCGCTCTGCAGCGTGCGTGTTACCGTCACGGTGTGTGAGGCAGCAGATAGCGGAGCCGCCTGTCTGCCATCCTGTGGCCCAGCCTCCATCTGGTTCTCATGACCACAGCTGATGCTGCGTTCAGGGTAACTCGGAAAATTTGCTTCTCCTTCTATGCCGGGTTTTTTTTTTAAATTTATTTATTTTTTTGATTAACTTTATTTCACACAAGAAAATTACAACAAAAATAAATACAAGATTAAATAAATGTTGCTCCTGTGTGTGTTTTAAAGTTTGTATTTATATTATTCGTGCCAATATATTAGTACTTTTTTACATCTTTTCAAACCTTTATTTACCCTCCCCTAAGATTTTGTTGTAATATATATATATATATATATATATATATATATATATATATATATATATATATATATATATATATATATTGTTTTACTTGCATCCAACCCCATAAGAGTTAAAAATAGAAGCATTTATTCATTACATGAATAATCTTTTCTGATTTTCTCCGTCCCAATATTTTAAGTGATTTATCCATATTGTACTTAAAGCAATAATTCTAATAATTACATGACAATAAAAAAATGTCCCTTCCTTGCATAAGAAAACTTTTCTGTTGTTTCACATAATATTCACTAGAGGGCGTTGTTTCACTCCGCTATTAAAACTAATCTATTGGCTAAGTTTTGTGGTATGGTTTAACTGCACTGTAATAACAACCTTCCCTTCAGAAGATCACATTCTTTATTAAGCTAAGGGAACTGCTATTGTGAACTTGATTTGAAAATTTGATTTTTTGATACCTGGCGCCTGCTGCACCCTTTCAACATTTTTTTTTTTTCATCATTGTAAAAGTACTGAAAAGCACCTCTGAAAAGTACGTTTTCAGAGGTGTCTTTACTTGTTGATATTCTCGTAGAATAACCAGAGCACTGTTTAACTGAAACAAAGACATGCATTAACTTTTTCTTTTGCATACCCTCACAATATAATTGCTGACAGTTCTTATTTAACCACTCTGGTTAAAAAGAACCCATTTTCATGTGAAACGGGTTATGTGATGTGAGCACAAAAATTACTGAAAGAGGAAACACAAAACTGACTACAAGGGACAAAAAGCATTATTGCGAGACCGCAACATTTAATGCAAAAGAGGACAAAAGGCTATTGCAAGGGAACAAGACAATTATTGAGAGAAGGAATGAAAAACATTCTGTAAGGGAACCAAAAATTTATCACGAGATTGTAACAATTATTGCAAAAAAATGAAAAAGAAATTCTCCTTGGGCTGCCACCTTATCGTGGTGGAGGGGTTTGAGTGCCCGCAGTGCGAGGCGCCGGGCAGGAGTGGGCATACTTGTTGCTCCCCATCTTGGCGCCTGTACATTGGGGTTTACCCCAGTGGATGAGAGATTCTGTTCATTACTTTCATGGACAGAATATCTAGGCACAGCCGAGGTGTTAAGGGGATCCGTTTTGGTGGCCTTAGGATTGCATCTCCACTTTTTTGCGGATGATGTGATCTGCACCTCTCACTGAAGCGGTTCGCAGAGACCGGGATGAGGATCAGTGCCTCCAAGTCCGAGGCCGTGGCCTTGAGCCGGAAAAGGGTAGAGTGCCTTCTCTGGGTCGAGAAGGCGCTGCCCCAGGTGGAGGACTTCAAGTATCTCGGGATCTTGTTCACAAATGAGGGAAAAAGGAAGTGGGAGATCGACAGGTGGATTGGCGCTGCGTCTGCCGTGAAGCGGGCGCTGTACCGTGGTGAAGAGAGAGCTGAGTCAAAAAGCAAAGCTCTCGATTTACTGGTCGATCTACGTTCCTTCCCTCATCTGTGGTCATGAGTTTTGGGTCATGACCGAAAGAACGAGATCACAGATACAAGCGGCTGAAATGGATTTTCTCCATAGGGTGGCTGGGCTCTCCCTTAGAGACAGGGTGAGAAGCTCAGTCATCCTTATGTCAAGAGGAGCCAGTTGAGGTGGCTCGGGCATCTGGTCAGGATGCCTCCTGGACGCCCCCTGGTGAGGTGTTCCGGGAACGTCCCCTCGGGGAAGACCCAGGAGATGCTGGAGGGACTTTGTCTCCCGGCTTAGTTCCCCCGGAACTAAGCCGGGAGACCCAGGAACGCCTTGGGGTTCCCCCGGAAGAGCTATAAGAAGTGGCTGGGGAGAGGGAAGTCTGGGCCTCCCTTCTGAAGCTGCTACCCCCGCGACCCGACCCCAGATAAGCGGAAGAAAATGGATGTATGGATGAAAAACCTATTACAAAAAAAAGAACATTATTAAGAAGATACCGCCATTTACCAAGGGAATGCAAAACTACTGCAATGGAGTAAAAAAAATATTGCAAGGAAACGCAACATTTATTGTGAGGGAATGCAAATGTATTGTTTTTATTGTCAGCAAATGCAATAACAGAAAATCTCAACCCTAAAAACGTTTTTTTTTTGCCTCTGAAGGGTTTGCAAACTTTAATTTATCACTATTGATAGAAATTGCATTTTCTGTTAGAATCAATTTGTTATTTTTCCATTTCTTAATAATGATAAATGACAATTATTGTCCATTCCCAACAACACAAACCTTTAAAGAAGGTTATTCTGATGCACATTTTTATTGTTGAAAATTTCAATTATATTCGGCAGGGGTGGCGTCAGCAAACTGCTCTTCTTCCTTCAGGACTCTCACAAATCCAACTTCTGGCAGATCGCACTTTCTTCATCCCCATTCATTTTAGCAAAGAGAAGAGTGAGCACTTTTTCTTTTTGCTCCCAAGTGAGATCAGATATGTAAACCTCCTTGCCAGCGAGATGGGGCCATTTTTCATCTGCCTTCTTGTCTGAATACAAAGATTTGTTGCTTATGGGAAATTGATGGAAGGTGTGGATGGGGGGGAGCCTTATCCTCTTCTCCACGGTGTCTCTAAATTTCTGACGGTAGTCTTGATATCCCTCCTGTGCGTTCCGCTTTCTTTCCTCAGCTATCTCCTGTCGAACGTTATCCAGGGCTTCGTGGAAAAACACCTCCATATCTTTGCGTTTCTCCACAATGGTCCTCGCCAGCTTTTTCACTTTACAGAGCTCCCTCTCCCGCATGGCAATAATTTTCTGTAGTTTGTCCAACTCAACCTGACTGGCCTGGATAGTGCATTGGGTTTTTTTCTCATTCTCTGTTGTTTCTTTCTCCAAATCCAGGAAGGCTTGCTCCAGAAAAGTAGCTTTGGCCGTGGCTTCAGTCAGCAATTTTTGAAGACGCGCAATCTCAGAACCATTATTCTTTAATTCTGACTTCATCGTTGTTTTCTCAATTGACAGTGACAGGTTGTCCTGACCCAGAAGTTTTGCACGTTGCTTTATACCTTCTAAATTATCCGAGGTAAATCTGAGACTATTACTGAGCCAGTCATTTTCCTTTTGAATTTCGTGCAATTCGTTTTTCAACTTGACAATGGCTTGTTCCTGATCAGCAATTAGCACACTCATCTCCTCTTGCTTACGTAGGTGGTTCCTTTCACTCTCTGTTGTTTCTCTTTCTAAGCGTAAATATTCCTCATCTTTTTTTCTTAGGTTTTCTCTGTATATTTCTTTAGACACTTGCATTTGCTTCCTCGTGTTAGCTACCTTTTTCTTTATACGAGTCTCAATGGCCTTTCTTTTAAAGATTTCTTCCTCAAACTTGTCGAAATATTGCTTCTTTTCATTTTCCCATCCACATCGTTCTTCAATTGCAAGCTCTTCTAGACTTTCGATCTGTTCTTCCAGGCTTTTGATCTTTTCCCCTTTTTCATTTAAATCTTTTTGCCAATAATCGGTGGTAGCAAATTCGGACATTTCCGCTTGGTACAGGAAATTCTTTAGTTCCTCAATCTCGGAAGTTAGTTTGTAGTGTTCCTTCTGGTGGTATTCCAAATCCTTCTCTGTTTGCTTCAGCTTTATCTCCCTGAGAGAGCTGACTTCATTTGTTTGGGCTTCTCGCGGTTTTCCTTTTGCATTTCTGCCCTTTCCTTGGTTTGCTTTTTTGGTCTCCATGGCAGATCTGAAAGAATTCACCTTTTCCTGCTTTTATGAAGAAAACATTAAATGTATTACAGAGATAGCACACTGTAGCACAATAACTGGTAACCAGTGTCTACCTGTAATATCAATGCCCACTGAAGTCAGGATGTCAATGTGCAATTATCAGGGAAGTCGTTAGGGACATCACCGTGATGTCACATGCTTCACCTCACCTGTGAGGTCACGCTGCAAAAGCACAAAAGTTCTGCGACCTCTGAAGTAAGTTTTTGTAAAAATTACTGGCAATTTTATTCGATCAATGCTTGCAAACAAGAAAAAAAATGAAAAAAGGAGAACTAATTTGAATTTTTTTTTCTGCAAATAACTAAAGTAAAAGCCTTCCCAGATCACTACCATAGTCATTAATATATTTTAATTATAGTTCTTGCACTTTCATTTTTCAAATAAGCAAATAAAATAAAAATAGACAGGCCTCAAGTGGCTTGGGGTCGGGAGTTGAATCGGGGACAACTGCGTTTATGAGTGCACCCTTTGCATAAGGTGCTCTATTGTTTGTTTATTTGGAATTTGCTGGCTTTTTTCAGGTTTTTCGTTAATAACCTCTTAATACTCTTTTTTTTTTTTCCAGTAAAAGCCATTTTTATTCTTTGGCTTTTATCCTCACCGAGACTTAATTTGAACCTTTTTTTCTTTTTATTTGTTAGTGTTGAAATTTTGCTATTTTTACATAAAACATTTTTTTTTAATATATGTTTTTGGTATGCACCTGTATGGTGCACTTTGATTCATCGATGGTTGGTGCTACATAAGTGAAGGTGATGACAGCTCAATGGCATTTGATGACAAATGGGCTACTGGAACAAGACGGAAATGGGCGAGAGATGAAAATGTGGATCTGTTGGAATGCTACTACTCAAGTAACCCTAGTGAGAGAGGTTACATGCAAAGACTGGGGAAGGAATGGTTACTTCGACATCCCCAGTCAACACTAAGCGCTAAACAACTAGTAGCTCAGTGTTCCAACATCCGCAAACGGCAACTGCTATCACAACTTGAGATTGACGAGATACAACACAAATGCTACGGCAAAAGGGAGGAACCCGGATGTCAGGACTGTGGGGACTTAACTACAAGTCCCCACCCAGTGAGGGGATACACGGCCCCAATGAGCGAAACAGAGCTGAACGAGACAGCTGCTGACCTGAGAGAGAGAATCATGACCGAATGATTCCGAATGATGAGCGAAACAGAGCTGAACGAGACAGCTGCTGACCTGAGAGAGAGAATCATGACCCGAATGATTCCTCGGCGCCAATTACAACGGCTGAGTGAAGTACCATCTGAAAGTCTCATTGAGAATGTGAATGCAGCATTGAGAACGATCCCTACCAACACCATAACAGAAACCAATGAGCTGATCTACAACTCAGCATCAGTTGGCTATAAGAGCAACCATGAGACCCAATACCCACCATTGAAAAGACGGTTAGAGGCTAAAATCAAGGTAACAAGGAGGGAAGTGAGCCAACTGTCAGAGCTCCACAAGGGTGCAATGAAAAGACCAGTACCCAGAAAGTACAGGCAGATGCCCATACCTGAAGCACTCGAGACTGCCAAACAGAGGCTCCAAGCCTTGTCCAGCCGCCTAAAGAGATACACAATACTGGAAAGGCATATGGGAAAGGGAGGCGTCCCACAACAGCAATGCACAGTGGCTGATCTCTCTACGAGAGGACCACAGCAACCTCCCTGAGCAAGTCCCGGTAACCATCACTGTGACAGATGTCCAAGAAAGAGTCTCAGGTATGAAAAACTGGACAGCACCAGGGCCTGACATGATCCATGCCTACTGGCTAAAGAAACTCACTGCTCTCCATGAGCGAATGGCAGCCCAAATGAACCAGCTGCTACAAAGTGGGACTCACCCTGAATGGTCAACTGAAGGGCGGACAATCCTAATCCAGAAGGATCCATCAAAGGGTCCAGTCCCACCCAACTACCGACCAATAACCTGCCTCTCCACAACCTGGAAGCTCATGTCAGGCATCATAGCGGCCAAGATAAGCAAACACATGGATAAACACATGAGCACGGCACAGAAGGGTATCGGTGTAAATAGCAGAGGAGCCAAACACCAACTCCTCGTAGACCGCACAGTTGCCCGAGACTGCAAAACCTGACACACCAACCTGTGCATGGCTTGGATTGATTACAAGAAAGCCTATGACTCAATGCCGCATACTTGGATCATTGAATGCTTAGAGATGTATAACATCAACAGGACTCTGAGAGCCTCGTGGATCGAGGTCCACGAGGCTGTGGAACCACCCTTGAAGCCAACTGCAAACCACTTGCACAAGTGTCCATCAAATGTGGCATATACCAAGGAGATGCTCTGTCCCCGCTACTGTTCTGCATAGGCCTGAACCCCCTCAGCCAAGTTATCAACAAGACTGGCTACGGATACAGACTCAAAAATGGGGCCAATATCAGTCACCTCCTCTACATGGATGACATCAAGCTGTACGCCAAGTGTGAGCGAGACATCGACTCACTGATCCACACCACCAGGATCTGCAGCACTGACATTGGGATGTCATTCGGACTAGAGAAATGTGGTCGGCTGGTCACAAAGAGGGGGAAGGTCATCCACACAGAAGGGGTCTCACTCCCAGAAGGAACAATAGCAGACATAGAGGACAGTTACAAGTACCTAGGTATACCACAAGCAAATGGCAACCTCGATGAGGTCACAAGGAAAGGAGCCACAGCTAAATACCTCCAACGAATAAGGCAAGTCCTGAGAAGCCAGCTCAATGGCAAGAACAAAATCCGTGCGATAAACAGCTATGCCTTGCCAGTAATCAGATACCCTGCTGGAATAATTAGCTGGCCAAAGGAGGAGATAAAAGCCACAGATATTAAGACCAGAAAGCTACTAACAATGCATGGAGGGTTCCATCCCAAATCCAGCACCCTGAGACTGTACACGAGCCGCAAGGACGGAGGCAGAGGACTAGTGAGTGTGAGAACCACTGTCCAGGATGAAACAACTAAGATCCATAAATACATCAGGGACAAAGCCTCAACAGACAATGTGCTCAGTGAATGTCTCAGACAACTGGGAACGGAGGTTGAGGTGCCAGAGATACCATCATGGGAGGACAAACCCCTACATGGGATGTACCACCAGCAAATAACCCAAGTGGCTGATATCAGTAAATCCTACCAATGGCTGGAAAAAGCTGGACTCAAGGACAGCACAGAGGCCCTCATCCTGGCAGCCCAGGAACAGGCCCTAAACACCAGAGCAATAGAGGCCCAGATCTACCACACCAGACAAGACCCAAGGTGTAGGTTGTGCAAGGAGGCCCCTGAGACAGTCCAGCACATCACAGCAGGGTGCAAGATACTGGCAGGGAAAGCGTACATGGAGCGACATAACCAAGTGGCAGGCATAGTCTACAGAAAACATCTGTGCAGAATATGGACTGGAAACCCCAAGATCAAAGTGGGAAACACCCCCAAAGGTGGTGGAGAACGCCAGAGCTAAGATCCTGTGGGACTTCCAGATCCAGACAGACAAAATGGTAATGGCGAACCAACCAGACATTGTCGTAGTGGATAAACATCAGAGGAAAGCCGTTGTGGTAGATGTAGCAATACCAAGTGATTGCAACATCAGGAAAAAGGAGCACGAAAACTAGAGAAATACCAGGGCCTCAGGGAGGAACTGGAGAGGGCCTGGAAGGTGAAGACCACAGTGGTGCCTGTGGTCATCGGGGCCCTCGGGGCAGTAACCCCCAAACTGGAGCAGTGGCTACAACAGATCCCAGGAACAACATCAGACATCTCAGTCCAGAAATGTGCAGTCCTTGGCACAGCCAAGATACTACGCAGAACCCTCAAGCTCCCAGGCCTCTGGTAGAGGACCCGAGCTCAGAGGATAAGAACCACCCGCGGTGGGTGAGAAGGGAATTATTATATATATATATAATATATATATATATATATATTATATATATATATATATATATATATATATATATATATATATATATATATATAAAAAGGCTGGTATTCTGCAACTTTTAAAGGTCTTTCTGCTTCATCACGCTTGACTTCAGGACTAACTCAACTCATTAATTGCAAGAGAACATAAAACCTATTGCAAGGGAACAAAAAATTAATTGGAAGAGAAAACAAAATGAGGAGCACAACATTTATTGCAAAAGTATGCAAAACCTACTGCAAGGAAACAGAAAAATTTATTGCAAGAAAACACAAAGCCTATTGCAAGAGAACTGTGAGGCAATAAAACATTAATTGCGAGGGAACACAAAATGTATTGTGAGAGAATGCAAAGCCTGTTGCGATACAGCAACGTTTTTTGTGAGGACACAAAGGCCTTTGCGAGAGAACAAAAAAATAATTGCGAGGCAATGCAACATTAATTGCGAGAGAACGCAAAGCCTGTTGTAAGGGAACACAGCATTTTATTGCGAGAGAACCCAAAGACTACTGTGAGGAAACATAACATTTTAATTCGAGGTAATGCAAATCTTTTGAAACAAAACCTGTGTTGTCAGGGAAAGCAACTTTTACTGTTAGAGAACACAATAATTATTGTTTATTGTCAGTGAACACAGTAGGGTGCTTTATAAAACCCTGAAAAAGAAAGAATATTGTTTTTTAATTGGTTTGCAAACATTAGTTTATCGCTATTATGATAAATCATAAGTCTCATAATTTCTCTATTTCTCATTTCCCGATATTGGTATGACATAATTATTGTCCATTCCTAAGAGCATGAATAATTACACAATTATTTTTTGAATGTACATATTTATTGATGAATCTCTTGACAGGGAAATGTCAAACAGCGTTCGGCGGCTCTGCGTCCTACACAACTTTCACAAATCCACCATGTTGTAGACCTCGGCGGTGAAGCCAACCTGCATTTCGGAAATGATGGTCAAACCTCATCGTACTGGATTGTGATGCACGTTCTGCATCTCCGTTCATTTTAGCAAAGAGAAGAATGAGCACTTTTTCTTTTTGCTCCCAAGTGAGATCAGACATGTAAACCTCCTTCCCAGGGAGATGGGGCCATTTTTCATCCGTCTTCTTGTCTGAGTACACAGAATTGGTGCTGTTGGGACTTTGATCGAAGATGCGGATGAGAGGGAACTTTCCCTTTCCTTCTGTTCCGTCTCTAAATTTCTGACGGTAGTCTTCATATGCCTCCTTTGCGTTCCGCTTTCTTTCGTCAGATATCTCCTGTCGGACGTTATCCAGGGCTTCGTGGAAAAACGCCTCCATATCTTTGCGTTTCTCCACAATGGTCCTCGCCAGCTTCTTCACTTGACAGATCTCCTTCTCTCTCATGGCAATAATTTTCTGTAGTTTGTCCAACTCGACCTGACTGGCCTGGATGATGACTTGGTATCTTTTTTCATTCTCTGTTTTTTCTTCTTCCATTTTCTTGAGAGCCTGCTCCAGAGAAGCAGCTTTGGCCATGGCTTCAGCAAGCTTCTTTTCATCACACTCCATCTCACAAATGTTGTTCTTTAATGTTGATGTCAGAATGTTTCTGTCCACTGCCAGTGAAAGTTTGTCCATAGTCAGTGATTGAGCCAGTTGCCTCATCTCGTCTAAATTAGCCAAGGTAAATTTTAGGTTTTCAATTAGCCATTTTTTTTCCTTATTAACAATGCTTAGTTGACTTTCCAATTCGGCCGTGATTTTGTTTTGCTCAATCTTGAACTGATTCATCTCCATTTCTTTGCGTATGAAGTTCCATTCTTTCTCTTTTGATTCCTGCAGTAAGGCTGAATATTTCTCTTTTCTGCGTTTTATGTTTTGTCTGTATTCTTCTTGAGACACTTGCATTTGCTTTCTTATGTTAATCATCTTTTTCTGCACCCGAGCCTCGGTGGCTTTACTCTTTAACATTTCTTCCTCAAACTTTTTGAAATCTCTCTTCTTTTCATTTTCGAACTGAAGTTTCTGTTGTGCTACAGTCTCTTCTTGGGTTTTGAGCTTTTCTTCCATCACGTTGATCTTATCAGTTTTATCTTTTAATTCTTTTATCCAATAATCGGTGACGCCAAAATTGCACTTCTCCGCCAGGAATAGGGAGTTTTTTACTTGCTCAGCCTCGATGTTCTTCTTGCCGAGTTCCTTCTGGTGGTAGGCTAAATCCTGCTCAGCTCTCTTAAGCTTCGACTCCCATAGTTTAGTGCTGGTTTCATACATTAGGGCCATCCTCTTCTTTTCTTCTTCTAACATGAGTATTTGGTCTGTCAAAATGTCTATAGGTTTTTTCTTCTTCTTTCCTTTTCTGGGCGCCATGGCACCTTTGAAAGAATTCCTCTTTTCCTGCTGTTCTTAAGAAAACGTTAAATGTACTATCAATCTAGCATGCTGTAGTAGCGCTGCGTAGGTGCTAACAAATGTCTACGTCGCAATAATCTGTGACGTTGTTAGGGCCGTCGCCATGATGTCACATGCTTCCCTTCACCTCTGAGGTCACATTGCAAACAATTCAGAGTACGTTACATAGCAACTAAAGTTCTGCAGTCTGTGAAGGAGCGTGTTGTTCTCTTTGTAAAATGCCTGGTTCGTCTTATTAGTTCAATTCTTACCAACATTTAGGAAGAGAAATGGAAAGAAAGAAATGTAAGAAATTCTAAGTAAAACATTTTCAGTAAAAGCCTTCACTGCCACAGTCTCATCACATATATTTTTAATTTTAGTTATTCCACTTTTATTTTTCACACTGAATCTTTTCAATCTTACTGAGAAACAAGCATGGATCTTTCTGCACGGAGTTTGCATGTTCTCCCTATGCATGGTGAGTTCTCTCCGGGTAACTCTGGCTTTCTCCCACAGTCCAAAAACATGACTGTCAGGTTAACTGGTCTCTCTAGTCTCCCTAGGTGTGAGTGCATGGTTTTTTTGTTCGGTCCGTCTCTGTGCTTCCCTGCAACAGACTGGCGACCTGTCCAGGTTGACCCCCGCCTCTCGCCCAAAAAGTTAACTGGAGATAGGCACCAGCCCTTCCCGACCCCACCTGGGACAAGGGTGTTTGAAAATAGATGGATGGATTATATGACTGATTTTTAATTCTGATGTACTAATCTACCTGCCTTGGTGGAGGGTGTTTATTTTGTTCACTGTGTCAAGTCAGCAACCTTCCACATTAACAATTTGTTTTTACGATTAAAATGAATGTTTTAGTTGCAGAACATGGGATTCATGTAGCTGTGAAACTGACCTTTTGGGTTTTCGGTCAATGTAAGACATATGAAAAGTAACAGAAATCCAAGCAGGAAATTACAGTCTGTGTGTAATAAATGTGCACTTTTGATTTAATTACTGAAATAACTAACATTTTTGCTTGTTTTACTTTGTGCCTTTAGGAGCTAGAACACAGTGTATTAAAGAAATAACATATTTAAACACTACATCAGTGCTTCTCAAACCATTAAAGAACCAGCTCAAAGATTAAAACATTTAGATGCGTGAGATGCTATATTTTGAATCCCGTGACTAAGAAATAATTCTCAGGCTTTTAGATTCATTTCATGTGCTGCTGTTTCCGTCTTCAATCTCAACACAACTCTCGTGACCAAATTCTTTTTATTATTTTTCCCTTTACGATTGCGTAAGTGATGGTGAAACAGAACAGTAGGTTAATATGGAATCAAAGCATAAAGCTATTTCATAAATGAAAATTTGAAGACATTTATTGCTAAGAATTTGCAAATGGAATTTATTCTTTGACTTCTGTTCTAAAAAAAAATATCACATTGTACATACAGTTACATCAGAGGTAATGACAAGAAGCACGTATGGAGTGAAGGCAACAACAAAGGCAAAATAAAAAAATTAAAAAACTCAAAAAACTAATAAAACAGCATGACATGATATGCTGCCTAAGATTTCCTCATGCCCATAAGGATATCATTATTATTCAGAAAGGTCATTTTAAAACCACAAAGACAGAATTGTCATTTGTCTCTTATAAACTGCCTTTTCGCCAGCAGTGATCAAGAAAATCATTATAGTGCTACATAAGCATTTTATATTTGTGGCAGCTTAGTCATGAGTGACGAGTGTTTATAGAAGAGGCCTAAGTTAGAAACCCAGAGCATTCCAGTCTCCAGTGTGGGATGAGAAAATAAATACACATCAATAAGCTAACTGTTTTGGTCTCCAGTCAATCTTTCAGGACTGACTGTGCAGTGGTGGAAGGATGTTTGTTCCTTTTTTTTTGTGACAGCAGACCTATACAACTCCGGCATGTGCTTCCTTTAATCTTCCCGTTCTTCTACATGCATTAACTGTAAAACGCTTCACTGTAGGACTTTATGTTCTTTTTTAACAAATAAGAAAAGTAAAACAATGCATTCACAAATATTGTCCAGATCAATGAAATTTGCATATATATACACACAAAACTGCAGCCTAAATAAAAGAAATGATATGAATACAGTTAATATTTAAATACAATTAAACATTTCCAGAACAGAAATGTGAATTTGTAATGAAACCATTCAGTTTCTAGAGTAGACATTTCTGTACATTTTGAAAAATTATAAACAGGACTGATAATATGTGTAATTTATAGTCCTCATAACTATGAATGTCTTATTGACATACACAAACTACTAACACTAAGAATTTAGAAAAATGTAACGATTAAATTCGTCATAGTTGGTGTTATCCTACATTAAGTATTATTAATAATTTCATTTGTACAGTATGAGTATGGTACGTTTGTCTTTGAGCAGTGGTTAATCTGGACTATCATATTTGAGGTTTCACGAGGCTAAACCCCAGCTGAGAATTATCTCACCATACATACATATGCTGATGGCATAAAACTGTGGAAGTAGCTGCATTTCTCTGGGGTATGAACACAACTCAGCAGAGAGGCTCATTTGTCTGTCCATATGAGACGCTTTGTTTACGCAGAGCGAGTTTTCAGTGAAACATTTTTGTGGCAATCCAGCTGCACGTTTACACAACTCTAGTGATCGGAGTCCCTGACATCAGCAGTTTTTTAAACCAGGTATCAGAGGGGAACTTGAGCTATTCAGCCTTTTCAGCTTAAGGCAACTTCTGATATGAATTAAATACGTGTTATATGAGCACTCGGTTTATCAGAGATGGGTCACTGTTTTCTACATGAGGTAGACGGTAATGAGGTGTCAAGTGTGTGTGTGTGTGTGTTTTGACAACGTGCTAAAATCACAGCGCCACATTGTGGCCTGGCATGACAACTACAGCTGATTCAAGACTTCTTTGCGGTCTTGTCTAAGCATGGAACTTTTCCTCAACATTACTCTTATGTAAAGACAGTCTAACAAAAATATCTTGTTTGCACTTTAAACCCCACATTTTTAATCCTTAATAGTTGAAAGGTACAATGGTGACAAGTTTTGATGCTTATGAGCAAAGCAAATCCTTTCCTACAACATTAATTTTCTATTACGTGTGGGTATTCATGTGCTTTTTGACATTAGATCTGAATCGAAACCTTTTACCACAAACATCACAGCCAAAGGGCTTCTCTCCAGTATGAATCCTCATGTGTTTCCGAAGGGTTGAGCTGTCGTTGAACATGGTACCGCAAAAATCACAACCAAATGGTTTTTCTCCCGTGTGGATTCTGTTATGTGAGCAAAGCCTCTCCTTTCGGTTGAATGCTTTACCGCACACTTCGCAGATAAATGGTTTCTCCCCCGTGTGGATTCGTTTGTGTGTAGCAAGGTGTGCCTTTTGTTTGAAGAATTTACCACAGACGTCACACTCGAGGGATTTTTCCAGCGTGTGGATTCCCATGTGCCTATTAAGAACTACCTTTTGATGGAATGTTTTACCACAGACCAAACAGCTGAATGGTTTGTCCACAGCGTGAATCCCTACGTGTCTGTTCAAGGTAGACTTACTGATGAACGATTTCTCACAAATATCACAGTTGAATGACTTCTCTACAGCGTGGATTCTCTTGTGCTTTTGGAGATTGGACTTTTCCGTGAATGTTTTATCACACACATCGCAGCTGAATGTTTTCTCTCTTGTGTGGACCAACATATGGCCATTGAGGATAGACTTATATATAAATGCTTTACCACAAATATCACAACTGAATGGTTTCTCTCCTGTATGAATTCTCTTGTGTTTATAAAGATTGGACTTTTGGATGAACGTTTTACCACAAACATCACAACCAAACGCTTTCTCTCCACTATGGATGCTCATATGTTTGCTAAGGGTTGACTTATCAATGTATACTTTACCACAGATATCGCAGCAAAAAGCTTTCTCTCCAGTGTGGGTTCGCTTGTGCCTATAGAGATATGACCTTTGGTGGAAAGTTTTTCCGCAAACATCGCAACCAAATGCTTTCTCCGAATCAATCTTCTTAGTATCTAAATTTGGCTTTACAATAAAACCTTTCTTGACGTTGAAGCTGAAATCACTTTTTTCTAAATGGCCTTTCATGTGTTTCTGAAAAGACTCCTGATAGAGGAACTGCTTACGACAAATAGAACAGCTAAAAAATTTCCGGGGTGTGTTAAATTCTCCATTATTTTCCTCCAATTCTCGCACAGTTTCTATCTGGCAGTCATTGTTTCTGACATCAAAAACACGACTGCCGTTACATGGGTGATGTGCTTCTTCATTTACGTTGTTGAGAGGTTCTGGGTTCCTATGAGTAGTAGACAAGCTCCATTCATCAGGAACTTCTTCTTTAACCACTAGCACCTTCTGGACACCTGTAGGAAAGTGTGAAACACATCATGAAGTAGCCTTTCTTACAGATTTATTTGCAACATTTTTTGAATATACATTTCGTCAGTATCAGTGACAATTGTCTATTAAACTCTGTAATTTGGGTTAAACCTAGTGGTTCTTGCTCAGATAGTTTAACTGATACATTTTGGTTAATTGGAGGCACACTTACTGATGAGAAGATATTGGTTTATGAAAAAAAAAAACTATCAAAATAAAAGTATAAAAGTTACACACATTACTATAGCATATGTTCTTACACAGAAAGTATAGAAACGTAAACCAAAAATGAAAAAAAAACAAAAAAACAACAAAAAACTACCATCAGTCCAGCACCAAAGCAGTGCTACAAAGTTATTAACACACACACACACACATCCACACAAGCACACACACAGCTAAATGGCAAAAGTTGAATGAGTACAAAAACTCACATACCAGTTGTCAATGGACTGGCTGAAACTTCCTCCTTCTCCTCCTTTATGTTAAGTTCTGGTCCCTGATGTTTTATTCTGTAGTCCGATTCATTAGAGGACTCTTCTTTGATTACTTGCAGGTCAGCTGCAAAAATCATTAAAACACACAACTATAAGATTTTCCATTTGACTATTGCTCTTGTTTTGGCATTAAAATTACAAAACATGCTTTGTTTCCATTTGGGATCAATAAAATATTTTTAAATTTGTATGTGAATGTTTTCTCATAAATTGAACACAAAAGTGTGGGATAAATGAGGCATAAGCATTTTGTATCATTATTTTTGTGTACCATTTCATTGAGTTACTAGAGTTACTACAGAGTGATGGATCCACAAATAAGAAAGAGTGGAAAGAAGAAAATAAACATGGGTTACAATATTATTGCCATTGGAATATTTACTAACAGTATTCCCATCCCAAAATTTTCTAATATCGAGCAGACCTACCTGGGCCCTGCAGAGCATAGCGAGAGGAGCTCAATCTTAACTCACCAACTTGTTTAAGATAAAAAGATTACATCAAACGTGCAACCATGCTATTCTCTAAAAGTGGTTTCAGGTAATGTGTGTGTGTGTTTTTTTTTTTTTTACATCCGTTTATGAAAGGTTAGTTTGAGTTTTAGCATGAGCAATGCAGATGATATCTATGAGTAACAGACCTAGGAGGTCTGATTGGTCAGAGAGTAGATAGCATTACAACAACTGGATAATGCTAAATTCCTCATATTGTCATAGCCATTTTGCTCTGATCACAGTTGAAACAACCTTCCAATAGTGTAGCAGTTAAAAAAGAAAAACAATGGGCATTTTCTCCAAATTAAAAATCCATAATTCTTCAACGGTTTACCAGTGGGCAGTGGACTGCTGGTAATCTTCCCTTTTGTGTCATCCCCTGGACTGTGATAGATCAGAGCACAGGGCCACTCGTCTGGATCTTCTGTTTTAACCACAAACAGCTGGTTGACATCTGCAGAGAAGATTCAAATAACATCAACTTCTTGCACAACTCTGACTCTATGTTTCCACAAGTCAAATGGGCAACATTACTCTTTAGTCAAACAATCCTTGATACTGGTGATTTCAATGGAAAACTGGTTACCAAGCAGTTACCTCAGTAACATTCGTACCCAAAATCCACACATTTGTAATACTGCATTCACATGAAGAAATTTGTGAAGAATAAAAAGTGCTATGCTTAAATGACAAACTTATTAGTAGATTACCAGTGGCGAGTGGACTGCTCTGCAATTCCTCTTCCTTCATGGTAAGTTCTGGGCGTTGATGGTCCATAACAGAGCTTCTTTCATCAAGGCCTTATTTTTTAAGGTAAAACCGACCAATTGATGTCTACAGGAAAATAAATAGACAAATTTACTTTTAAAAAATTTTAATGCATGGATAGTATGGATAATAGTGGTGATGTTTTCAACCCAGTAAACGGCTGCATTATATTAGGAAAACAAGCAATTGTGTTGCTCCTGTTGCGTATTGAAATGATGGTGGTTGCAATTGAGCCTCATCTTCCTTTGGCATCTCGACCACTAAAGAGCAGTCAACATCAGAGTGCAAATTTGTTCATATGCAAAGCCTTATATTTTCAGAAATCTTTATGAAGCTGTAAAAGTTGCTAGATGCATATTTCCTAAGGTAAGAGCAACATATAAACATAAAAATTAAACCCTTTTCTATGTTGCTCTTTGTAGAACATACAAAGTTGGAACATACACTTCAAATTGACATTTGTTTCCAGGTGTTGCAATGCATGTTAGAGCAGACACAACAAGATTATGCATTGCAATTTGCACTAATTGACATTTAATGATTTTTTCATTTTCTAATAGACCAAACCTGGCAGAGGTGACGCGTTATGCTTTGCGCGTATTAATAATGTCAAAGACTTCAGTGAATCTTCTTTTTCTATTAGACTTGAATCTGTTTACATGCCATTAGCTGATCTTGTGACCCAGCACATCTAGCACGTCGCTGCTCTCTAACGGAGTGCAAATCTCGTGATGCTCCATCATTTTCCACATGCGTCGTGTCGTTTATTTGGGCGTGTGGTGCAACCAGTGACTTTTCATCATTGTAGAACAAAGCAACTGCACTTACCTTTGTCACCTGTGTTGATGTCTTTGTTGAATGCTGCTGTTATTTAGGAGTCTGCTGAAGTCAGGGTCTCGCCGAAGCCACAGTCGTATTTGTGAAAACACGTGTCTTTTTCTGATAATTTCTATGTAATGGCGGTGGTAGAATGGAGTCTGCGAAAAGATAGAAATGGAAAAATAGCTCTACACTATTTACCTGGCCCAGTATTCGATTTCTTCTCTCTCTGCGTTCTTACACTTAATGAAAGGGCGCCGCCATGAAAAACATTCCATCGTGTGCGATGTCTCGCGATAGCTTGGGGGATCATATGACAACAGGGCCGCCATTTTATGAGTGGCATTCATCTCACACCAAGACATCGAGAGTTCAGTTCTGTTCAATACTTTGAGTACTTTTGACCAAATAATAAGTTTTTGACACTCGCTAATTAATTACTGCACTTTTTCAAAGAATAATATGTAATAGGTAATGAAAAGTAGCTTAAAATCCCACCTAAGGTCACCAACAAGCTGTTCCGGGAGCATAATGGAGAGCCCTGTTTAATTAATTTACCAGTTAAAATGTAATCGTACAATTATGAATTATTAATTTGTTACATTATCAAATCCTAGTAAAAGACAAACCTTTCTTATTAAGGGTCAAATCAAGATTTTAAAATATGTGTAGTTTACCCCGTTTTGCATATATATTTACCAAATTAACTAGTTTTGTATTGATGCCTTTCCCATCATAACACATTACAGAAATATGCCTAACACTGACATTTTCTCCTAACTGAGCCCTTTTATCTCATTACAACTGTGATCTCATATGACCTTCCTGTGGGAAAGCAGTTTGAAAGGCTCACCCATTTAAAAGACATCTAATGGGTCTTTATGAGCATAACAGACCTTCGTAGATCCATTCCTATCAATTTAGTTTAGCTTATGGATGCTTCGGTAGTACAAAGAGGCTGAAAATGTGCTCTGCCAAATTGCTGACCAGAAAATTGCACGAGTAAAGAACTGAGATGCAGGAAGCCACAGAGTCAAACATTACTTCTACAAAGCTGTTGTAAGCCATGTGACAGTCCTAGTTCACATTAACACACACACACACCCACACACATGCATACACACACACTTGTATGCCTTTGTGGGAGAGCACGTCCCACTTCCAGCACCTTTATTTTTTTAGCCAGATGCCTTTGCTGCAATGCAATATATGTGCTGATAGCTCATTTTCTTATATATTTGTAACATAAAATAATATTTGTAAAATAGAATGATGTGGCACTATCACACACCATCTTCTGATCTTTCTCTTTGATAATTAGGATCCAATCATCTGGTGCTGCAGGTCCACTCCTCTGTCAAAGTGGTTGTGGTCATTTGGAGATGATGGTACTTCACGTGTCCTTTATCTCTCACCAGCCATGCACTCTTTTTACAGTTTTTCCTGTGAAGGGAAAGTGTAGGGTGGGGCACATATTCCTTTGTCCATTTCATGAAAATAAAGAGGTCGTTCTCTCTCGTTGCCCATTGTGTTTTTTGTTTTTGTTTGGGTTTTTTTTCTCAGGGGATTAGTTTTAGTTTGTACCTATCAGTTTGTCTCTGTGTCGCCTTCATCCAGTTCACGGTAGCTCTTAGATTTCTCCTACAACCCTAAAGTATTTATATGTAAATGAAAACATAAAGACTGTGTCGATTAGCTGGATGCTAATGTTTTTCATTAGCATCACATTTATATTTCTTTTGATATTTTGATTCCATTTTATTTGTATTTTAGACACATGTTGTGGTCTGGTCACTCATCCAACAAAGGATGAATTTGATTCAAATGTTACTAAGGTTTAAATCTAATCTGCTTACTTGTACTGTTCTTACAATAAAAACTAAATCCATTTAATCTATTATGACTACCAGAGGTATGGAAATAATACACAAATTTTGTTTGAATTAAAAACTAATGTTGCACCCACTTATCAGCCAGCATTCAAAATAGGGCAGCTTGTTCCTGGACCTGCTCTGAATGTGTGCAGAATGGCTGGGCCTAAGACAAAATAAATAGTTTTTACTTTCTTCTTCCTGTTCTTGGTTTAGGCATCTTTAAATCCATCACACTGGCAGTTGTATTAAAATATATGTGTAGTTTACTCTTTTTGACACAAATTAAAGCCTTTGCTGCACATCTAACCCCATACATCACTAATCTAGCTCAAACCTTTGATAGCATTTCTGCTAAGAATTTGTTGTTCCAACGGGATAAAGATCTAACACATGCATCAAATAGTTGGGGAAGGGGATGGATAAAACCAACAGCTAACATCAAGCTGCTGGAACAGCGTTTTGATTAAAAATTAGTAAACTATGCTTTGTAAATGCTAGGACTGTAAATTAACATATTTAAATTAACCTTGGCATTTTTGGTAATATTGGTAAAAACATAAGTTGTCAGAAGTTTAATAAATCTAAAAAATATGTCTGTAAAAGTAGTTTAACCAAGGATGTTGTTTAAACCTGATTTTGAGATCGCACACAACAAAACTCATCTGAAATTTGCCTATAAAATATTAATTTTCCTCCTTTAGACTGAACTTTAAAATAGGTGGATACCCTGTTGGATATCCTTTTGCGTTAAAAAGTGTTTCAATTTCCATGGCAACAAAGTGTCAGAAACATGTCTTCCGATAAAAAAAAAAACTTTATTTCTCTTAAAAACAATGCCATCACATGGAAACAAATCTGAACTATGCAGAAAATTTTCTGAGAACTTTGAATGATAGCGTGCCCACAGTCGTTCTTGTCTGACTGCTGTTCATGACGTGACTGGCTTTGATGTCAGGGCTTTATCAGTCTTAATGGAAATATGTCGTTATTTGCTTCGTGTAAAGCCGAATACCGTCCTACGAAAACCTTGGCTTCAAGTTTCACATAGGGATTGATGGACCTTGAAGAGAGCCAGAAAATAGCAAAGAGTTTAAAATCATACGAAGTGGTCAAGAGTTGTCAAGTGCAAGTTTTAAGCCCGATGCGTAAAATAATCCAGACTGAATCTTTCTTAAGGCACAACATTACGCAAAATGCACAAACTTTTAAACCGCCAATGAATGAGCTAACATTAGGGGCTGACATTTTTGCAACAAACAAGCAATTTGTAAATACTTATAACAAGTGAAACACTGTCAAGCACAGATTTGTGAATTGTTCATCACTTGTTGCCTCAGGAATAAAGCAGAATACTCCTACAGGAACGGTTGCATCCAGGAACTTTTATATTACTCATTTACTCTTCTGCAGCAAAATTTATAAACTTGCTATTAAGTTTATAGCAGGGATTTCCAGTTAAAAGACAAATGGAAGAAGACTAATTGTCCTGCTAAAACAAGTATGGTCTAACTGTTAGTAGAATTTGCTCAGACATGCTTCATATTCCCTGACATTATATTTTAAATTATATGAATATTCTTTATTTACATCTTCCTTTTGGACATACTTTTTGAAATTTTACAAAAAGTTCTAGAAGCAAATGAATTGACATATGATAAGTAAAAAAAAAATGTTTTAATCTTTTTACCTTATATGAGCTTCAACTGTCCTGAACGTGGACAGTGTTTTCACCAGCTGCAATGACACAACACAATTAAAAACGTGTGCTCTGTTCCAGAATTGAAAACAGTGAATTGGAATAAATTGAAAACAGCTTACAATCAGGATACCACTTCCAACTTTGGTTTTACTTTTCCAGTTGTACCTGATGAACCACAAAACATAACAGAATGGAAAGCTGCATCAGTGGCAAGATGAAGTTAGGGCAATAAAAAGAAACCAAAGAAAATACAGGAATAAAGCATTTTGAGCTAAAATATCTGAAAAGTGTTGTGTGCATTTGTTCTGATCTCCTGCATTAATACTATATATACTGATCCCTGCCCCAGTTTCCCTTTGCAAAATAACTGAAGATTAGATACATTTTGAAGTCAAACCATATATTTACATCTGGATTTAGGGGTGGACTTTGACTGGGCCATCTAGCAAAGAAGGCTTGTATAAAACAAATCAGAAATGTTCAGTTATTTTTCTTTTAATTTTGTATAATTTAGGGCTACAAGCCTCCAGTGACTGTTTCAAAAGCAGACATACTTGCACCCAAAGGGTGTGATCAAAGCCTTACAGCTTAAAAGACAAATATCACCGATTCCTGACCAATTGTATGTAAGCTTCTGAATTCAAAGGAAGTTACAAAAAAAAAAATTCTAAAAAATGTTCTGACATTTGTCAAATGGGATTAAATTTGCTAATTAAAACTAATCTAACCCATGATAAGTTTAGTCTGAAAAATAAAATTTTTCTTCACAGTGAAGAAAAATTGTATGCATGTAAATATCTGATTTCAACTTTACATAGTGTTTATTTCAGTCGGAGCCTGTTTGTCTGAAAGCATGGTACATGTGTTCTCTGGTTCTATGGAAAACCTATGTTGAGTTAATAACTAAAACACAGTCTCCAGCTTTCGTTAGACTTCCTTTCTTTTTGTGGTTATCCATAAACAGGAACGTTAACTCATCCATACAAAAAACATGACCACATTGGGAAGCTCACAGCTTACTCATGGGGGAAAACCAATTACAATGTTAGCGGAAAAAAGGAAACATCTTTTTCTCTGTCTTGTGTGGGATTTACATTGCTGTGGTCCCGGGGAGAATGTTCACTCTGGCTGCCAGGTTTCTTTCCATTACAGACCTGATAAAGAAAAAAGGCAGAGAAAAACAGTTGGTGGATAGAACGAGGGGTAAAAAGAAAGTATAAAAATTAAATGAACCTGAATATTACGGATATAATCCAGCAGAATTTTTTTTTTTTTGTACAAACAAATTTAAACTGATAAAGACACAGCTGTTTTGTTTGGCTCAGCCTGAGTTTATGTACTCAGTTCTTTATCATAAGTCTTTTGGGAGAAATAACTGTATCAAGGCAGCATGGCAATGAGATAATCTGTTTGTTGCCCTTCTGTGGAGTTGCTGTAATAGTGAACTTCAGCTCATACCTTATTCCCATCTCCACACTCTTTGGATTCTTTAAGGAGTTTGGTAATACTTTATTTGACGGGTTGTGAATAAGACTGTCATGACACCGTCATAAACATGACATAACACATGTCATGTAAGCCTTCATGAATATTTATGACTGTTGTCATAAAGTGTCATTCGGTAAATCATTACACTTTTAATACAAAGTTGACATTATTCATACGTCTTCGATATGACAACTTGACATTAACCAAGAAATCATGATTGAACTGATTAAACTTTAGCTTTAATAACATAAAGGTACATATTTTTAAAAGTTTAATCAGTAATACTTTTATAACAAATTTATGTCAGATCATGATTTCTATAATTTCACTAAAAACAACCAGGGAATAAATACAACTCTTGAGTTAGTGGTTGAACATTGTTTTGGCCAAAGTTGGACTAAGATGTTTAACTTTGTATTGGTTACATCACTTTGACTAAATTACAGATTTAATCAGAAAAAAATCTTTGTGAAATATTTTCACAATTTTTTTAGAAATACTTAAATACAAAAAACTGTTGCAAAACAGTCAGATACAATGTTATTCTAATGTAATTCAACAATAAAAAAAAATACCGGAAAATTAGCTGTACCTGCCAATATCCTGCGCTGCCTGCTCATTGGGACAGCTGATGACAAGGACAGAGTCGTACGTCGAATCATAGTTTCCTGTGAAAGCTGCGTGAAGAACATTCACGAGGGACCTCGCATCAGGATACATGGACATGGACAGGATCATCCACTGCAGAGGGTGAGATGTGCATAAGAAGAACGTTTCATACGGAGGATTGTTTTTCTTTTGTGTTACTGATCATTTCATACAGCATAATTGGATACTCTAAGCCCTTCTCATTGTGGCCACCATACTTTCTGCTAAGGCTTTTGTAACGTTTTTCCATGTATGTTAATATGTCATTGTGAAATAGCAGAGGTTTTATATATTTTTCTAGATAGAAATAGATAGATAGGTCGCTAGAATTGTTCCACAAACCTAAGACATACAGAAACTTTCTATAAGTAGGAAAGAAAGAAAAAAAAAACATCCAAAATATTTAGACTATTTCAGAGTTATTATCATGTGGTAATGACTCGTTACTACTGAGTCATCTGGCTGTTTGGATGGTGTCTCTTTTGTGTTGATAGTCTGAATGGCGATTTTCATGCGCAGTTCCATCTCAGCCTCACACAAACAAACATAAACATTCAGAGGATAAATCGATTTTAATTTTTTTTTTACACCAAATAAACACGTTTTCTCTGAGGCCCTTTAAATGTGCATATATTTGAAATGTTAAATTACCATCCGTGACAGTATACAAAACAGACAACAAAATATCACAGTATAAGCATATTGCATGGGAACGCGAAGGTCTTGTGATGTAACGCAAAAGAATAAAAAGAATTCCCCATGTCCCCATGGGGGCTCCGTAGTTTCAGCCGTTTTTGTTTCACCATTTTCCTTGTTTTACTCAAACATAAAAATATATTTATATATAAGAATTAGTAACATCAAATGCAGGCTTCATAAATCACTGACGGTTTGAATTATTCTACTACCGGTCAGAGTGGGATCATTGAGCACTGTATTTTTTGAGGCATACACCAATACTAATGCAAAAATAAATAAATACAAAAAAAGTGATAATATCACCCTTCATTGAAGTTTTACAAATCAAATAAAGGTTCGGAAATCACAGACTGGGATTCAAATATTTTTCTACCAATGTAGAACACTCTCGTCAAGTTTTGAAGAACTTTGGTGTAGCCTATTTTTAAGCCAGAGCAGATTAAAGTAGTGAAAATGTAGGCGGAGTATCTCTTTCAAACTGTATTTTAAAGAAAAATGAAAAAGATTCTCTGTATAACTGCATAAATGCCATGTTTTTAAAATGTCCCAAGTAACGAGAAATTTTTTCGAAAGAAAAAATCTCTTTCAAACCGGGAGCTGTAATCATGAACCGGTTTCAGACTTCCTACATAACTGTAGAAGTTACAGACGCATCGCAGTTTGAGAATAACTCCTCTCTCTCTCTCTTTCTCTCTCTCTCTCTGCAGACCTCAGTCCTCTTACCAAAGTTCCCTCTATCACCATCAAGCGGGCTGTTCGGTTGAGAAAAGCCCGCCTGTGCCAACGCTGTAGCCGAGGCGCTTTGTGCCACCACCAAAGCACCAACTCCATCGTAACTGCAGTTCCGACCCAGCGCTGAATGTCGGGTAGTTACCATAGTGAAGGTGTTCTGTCGGTTTGTTTGCTCGTTTTCCGTGGTGACCCGGCAGAGTGCCGAACCGTCAGAACAACGACGAAAGCGTTAATAAGTGTCCCACATATTGGTTGCGGCACGCTTCCTGTAACAGTGGCGCCGGCCAACAATATTGCAGATTGCCTTTATAATCAAAAGCCTTGATTATAATGGCTTTTGGTGTGTTTATGACTAATACTTCCCTGCCTGCAGACTTGTTTGTGAGGGCTACAAAATGTGGTTCATTCTATAATGTCTGCGTGCAGCACAAAGGATTTACAAGAGCTGCATATCATGAATTAAATAATAATAATAATAATAATAATAATAATAATAATAATAATAATAATAATAATAATAATAATAATAATAATAGAACTGAATATTATGTTGTATAATAACACAAATATTTATATTAAACAATAGTATAATATTATAGCAATTACATTACTACTACTAATTATGTATTACTAGAAGAACTCAGCCAGTCTATACACAGCTAGAGTAAATCATGCTGCAAATGAAACACAGGAAACCCATTGTTTAGCTACAAAAGTATAAGAAACATATCTAAAGTACATGCTGCATTATTGTTTTAATACAGAAAAAAATGGCTATGTAATATTTTTGTATTCATCACATGCTGTAGCTCCAGTGCAAAATTGAAAATGTTCCTTCCTCCTCCAGTATCCAGGCTTTGGACTGAAGGTGTTGCGTTCTTCCCCTCAGCTGTACTCGTTAAATGTTGCATAAAAGAAACCCTAACCTGTACTGTATTATGTCACAGCGTTGTAAGTATGAGCCTTCTTTCTTTCAATATTTCTTTTATAGTATTTTATGTTGCTGTACTAGTTGACGATAACTGAACACAGAGCAAAATCTGTCAGCTGTTAGACCATCACAATGCTACAATGTAGAATAACCTTGTTTGTACCTGAGAGTTAGAGACTGCCAGACAATGACTCACCACTCTGGTTACCTGCCTGATGAAGAATACGGGAGAAGCGCAAGCAATTTCCCAGAACTAGAACCCGTAAACATCACAGATATATGAGATAGTGTGTCTGTGGCAGGCTCTGCTGAAAAAACAAAACTAAAACAAAACTGTCTGCTCTCAACACATGTCTGGGGGAAAAGTACGTTGCTACTAATAGATGGCCAAGAAAGGGACAATTTCACCCTTACTTACATGTAAGTAAGTGACAATTAAACACTTACTTACATGTATGCAGCAGAAACATTCCTGCCAGTTGTCCTAAAGCAGGGGTGTCAAACTCCAGTCCTCGAAGGCCGGTGTCCTGCAACTTTTAGATGTGCCTCTGCTGCACCACACCTGAATAGAATAATATGTCATTAGCAAGGCTCTGGAGAACTGATCTACACAAGGAGGAGGTAATTAAGCCATTTCGTTCCTGTGTTTTGTACCTGTGGCACATCGAAAAACTGCAGGACAGCGGCCCTCGAGGACTGGAGTTTGACACCCCTGTCCTAGAGGCTGAAGTTAATAGATACATGCTGATGTTGGCAGAGCTGAGACAGTAAAACCAGACATATGTATAAACCTGTGTAAACTTCGAAGTACTTAAACCAAACAATTCTCTATTCACACATTCTGTAGTGCTCGAAAGTCCAACAATCCAACAGAATACTGAGAACCTTCATCCAGTCGAAAGGCAACTCCAAATACCTTCAACATGCATTAGCAACTCAGGCTATCATCAGTCACCCTCTTTGTTCTTGCATTCATCCATCTATCCAAGCTACTGGGTTAATAGGTTAAAGAGGAGAACTAGACATCCTGTACCCCAGTGACACTCCATCTCATTTCTAGGAGTTCTAAGGCATTTCAGGGACAGAATGGGTGTGTATATTGTTTAGGTAAATTCTGGCTCTTGTCTGGAAGACAAAAGCTTTAACTTTGGTCTTGTCATACCAGATCACCTTCATTCACATGCAGTACTTACCAAATACTGAAACTTCTGCATGCAAAATCTAAAGTAAACAGTCAGGGGGTGAACAAACAAAGCTTTTGTATTTTATTATTTTAAGCATTGACTTTATTGCTACAATATGACAAAACAAACCGAAAATGGTGGAAGACAATTTCAGATCTACAAAGGTTTGCGTGATCAAAACATTGTAATGCACAAGTTGTCCACATGAGGGAGCTGTGGCCTCATGGATTAATCTTTTAACTCCATCTGTTCAATCCACTGAGTGTTCATAAAACATGTGTAAAACTTCTATAAACTGAAATGACGCAACTTCTCTAATACCGTCTGTAAGCAGACAGTGGGGGGCGCCACTGAAATCCCAACCTGCGAATGAACCAATTTATTTCCTCGGCTCTCGCAGGCTTTATTTTAGAGCCCATCAGTGAGCTCTCCCCCCCAAAAAAGAGCCACTTAAGCCACTGCTCCCCAACATGAAAGAAGGGAACCAAAATAGAGTGATAGGAAGAAAGCCGAGAGGAGAGGCGTTTGATCTGCTTGTTCTGGGACATCACACTGAGGAGTTGGCTCCCCCGGAGGAGTACTGAGGCCTGTTTGTCCCTCAGAAGTCTAAAGTGAAAAATAAGATTATTTTTATTTATGTACATGCTTCTTGTCAGCTTCCATATAATGAGGCCACAAGGTCTATTAGCGCAGGAGGAGAAAATGAGAACTGAGACGTGACACGGAGGACTCTCATAAGTTTTACCTCGTCTAATTGCCATTAAACCGTGATCGCCTCTTGGCGGGATCATTGAACTTGTTTTTATTTTCCGTGAAGTAAAACCAATTCCAGCGGTGGAGAATTTAGGCGAATAGAGGGGACAAGGCAAAAACCTTCAGTGAGGTGAGCAAACTCCTGAAATAATTAAAAAAAGAGAAATGAGAGTTCAGAAGGACTACTTTCTCTGTTGTCTTCTGCACTGTGTGGTTCTGTCGTTGAATGCAAGGTAGAAAAAAGGTAAAGTAATAAACTGGACAGAAGAAAAGGTCAGACAATTCCTTATACTGGGACTTTCAAGGCTGTGATTACCAAGACGGATCCTCCCAAAGAGGTTAATTAAAAACGTCAAGGGGGCCGAGAAGGGAAGTGTCTACATCACTGCAGAGACCCATGGTGACCCCTCCATCCTCTCGGACAGACACATCCATCCGTCATGGCCGACTCCTTTGGCTGTCGAGCATCTGCTGCGAGCCACCACAGAGATCCCAGAGTGGCTAAAAGACACTGAAGTGTATGTAGCTCGGCCACAATTCTGACAGGCTGCTGGGAAAAGCAAGAGAAGAAAAGATAAAAGGAGCACTGAGACGTCTTTGGCTAAATTTGCTCAGGTAACAAAACCTCTCCCCTCTTAACGGTACGACGGCCACCGTAATGTCATCATCTTCCTTTTCTTCTTTTTCTTTTTTCTTTGCTACATAGTTGTGCTTATTTTTGTTACCTCCTTAGCAAACAAAAATGTTTATTTATTTTTCTCAGACACAAAACTGTCAGATTGCTTTCTCCTCTGATGATTGCAAAAACAGATGGTTTCTTTGTTTGGAGACATAAGTGCAAGATCCAATCTGGCAATTAAATAAATATGCCACAGAGTCATTCAAACGCACTGGTGACCTTTGAACTTTTATCATATTTTATCACATCACACTTTTATGTCATATTTCAGGCTTTTATGTGACAGATCAACGGCACGTAATTGTGAAGCAGAAGGAGAGTAGTACAGGTTTTCAAAGTACTCACAAATACAAATCAGGAAATGATCAAAGACAAAAACATAATAAACAGTGTCCAGGGTGTAATCCTCTGTTTCAGCCGGATATGCAAGTCTCCATTTTAGTAACAGTGGCAGCATGGATAACACTCACTAAGAGGATGCAAAACGACAGAGTCAGAAAGCATCTTTTAAAAGCATATGCACGGCTCAACATAGACACGAGGGAATAATTACCACCAGCTGTTTAGTAGCCTTGTAAAAAGAACTAAAAAGTAATCATTTCGAGGCCAAACTTTGTGGTTAGAGCTGAATTAAGAATGTATTTTCTCTACAGTCTCCTCTGGTCCTGCCAGTTGTTGAAAACAGGAAGATTAATTCTGCAGACCATCTCCTGTCTAAAATTAGAATAGCCTCAATCAGGGATAGAAGTCAAAGGAACATTCTTTAAGTCTACAAATTCTCAGGGCAGTTGGTGCAAAATGGTTTAACTGTGGCTTAAAAATGCACATGTCCCTGAACACACCATCCACTCTTTGAAACATGGTAGTGAGAGCATCATGATGTGGGGACAGACTGGTCACTGTGACTATGTTTACATAGTTCCTATCAGCATTTAAATAATCTCATGTATTTTTCTGTCTTTTTTATGACAACTTGTTTTTAGGTGTGTTTCATGACAAAAATAAAAGTTAAGTGGAGCTTTTTAGTCATACTGAAATGTTTGGAATCCTGGAAGACGGCAGCAAACGATTTGAGATTAAAGAGGTTCTACTTCTAGCAGGGCGGTAGATCTAAACATACAGAAAGGACAAAGGATTCAAACTAGTTTTATGTTTTACATTGTCCCAGTCAAAGTCCAAACCCAAATCCAATAAGAATATGTTGCAAGATCTGAAAACAGGTGGATACTCTACATCCAATCTGATTGAGCTGGAATTAGGAAAGAATTGAGAAAAAAATAAATAAATAAATCGAGTCTCTACACATGCAAAGCTGGGATAAACAATCTCCAAAAGACAAATCTGTAACTTCTGGAGGTGGTTCTACGAAGGACTGACTTAGATATGACTAGATTTACTTTTTAGTTTTTCCACTTTCCAATTGTGCTCCAGTTTGTCTCTATCACAAAAAATTAAAGGTGCATTGAAGTGTGCAATCTTTCAAAGGGATATCACTATTCAGTGAAACTACATGCTTTGCACTAGGAAAGTAAGGAACGAGATAAGAGGAGAGAAGTTGACAATTTTGATTGAGTTTGAGAGAGGACAAAGAGCCTTGAGCGCTCTTCCAGAAAAAGGAGTTGAAACAT